TCACCCACCCACCCACCCAGCCACTCACCCACCCATCCATCCACTCAGCCACCCACCCATCCACTCAGCCACCCACCCATCCACTCAGCCACCCACCCATCCACTCAGCCACCCACCCATCCACTCAGCCACCCACCCATCCACTCAGCCACCCATCCACTCAGCCACCCACCCATCCACTCAGCCACCCACCCATCCACTCAGCCACCCACCCATCCACTCAGCCACCCACCCATCCACTCAGCCACCCACCCATCCACTCAGCCACCCACCCATCCACTCAGCCACCCACCCATCCACTCAGCCACCCACCCATCCACTCACCCACCCATCCATCCACTCACCCACCCACCCATCCACTCACCCACTCACTATCTACGTGACTTTACCGAAATAACCAAATAATGTGAACCCCTCTCAGCTCTTCTCTGGGGCTTTCACTCGGATTGTAACCCTGGGGGGCTCCCGATCAGAAATATCCCTGGGGTCAAATCCCCCCCCCCCTACCCCAGCGAGGGTCTACACTCAGCTCTATCATCATCACCATTGTCATCTACATCATTTGTCCACGAGAGGGTCGGTGATGTTACAACCACGCGTGACGGCGCTGTTGTTGTTGTGGTGGTGGTGGGTGGATGCCTCACCAGGAAGAACGTGTCCCCAACCACCACCACTACCGCAAACCACTGCAATTTCCACTGACGGTGGGTGCAGGACTGACGGATGAGAGGGAGACAAATGCTACCAAAATGTTGGTTTTGTGCGCGGTGGGGAAATGTGTTTAAATCCGTTTCAGATGACGCGTCCGTGAAGTTCGGGCTCTCTCTCTCAACGGGGGGGAGGGGGGGAATTCCAAGGCCACCAAATGTCACTTTTAGGATGCGATATCTTTCAAACACTCCTGGAATATTCTCCGGACAATCAAATTATTGAAATGTCCGAAGGGATTAATGGGGGATGGGCATTTATCTTGATAATTTCTGCATGACATTCACTTCACGCGGAGGTCTGTATATCTTTACAAGCGTGCCCACGACATCCATCATGTCACACAAGTTGAAAAAAAACAAACACATTCCTGCTTGAAACCATTCAGAACTAGATCAGCTCCTACAGGATTACCCAAGCTTTTTCCGAGTAGCTCTCGAGATCCCGGTATGAAGGCAGAATTTCTTGTTACTTATAAACATTTTATTTTGCCTGCGTTCATAGTTTTGTTCTCCCGACTCCCGCACCTGCCGATGTGCATGGCCGGGCTACGTACGGCGCGCGAAAGAAGTCCCCGACGTGCGTAAACATTGCGAAAATTTAATCTGCAAAGCGAAAGAAAGATGACATTTCGATGCTTACTCGGTTCAACTATCACCCTATGAAATGGTTTAGTAGCAGCATTAGGCTTAGGATATGGGGGGCGGGGGGAGGCGAGGTTGTACACAACCAAATTTCCAAAACTCTGTTCAGTCCCACGCCACTCGAGCTACATTCAACTGGACTGGCCATCGTACCCTTTCGCATTGCTTTGTAAGGCAGTCAAATCTGACATTCATTTCCATGTTATAGAGATTTCTTGAGGCTAATTGGGGGGCGTAGGGGTTGGTGGGTGTGTTGGGGATGGTGGGAGTAAACAGGTCACGTGTCTCTTTGGGGGGGGGGGGGGGTGGGGAGGGGGGAGACATTCACGAGATTGTAGGGGCGCAGTAACCCATTGCCGACTCGACGAAAAGGACTTCCCGGATAAAATCAATGAGCGAATAAAGACAAAGATCCCTCCCCTACCCCGTATAGCCTTAACAGGCTATTAGGGGCAAGTGCTGTTCAAGCGAGCAAGCGACGTGAAGGCCGGAACGGCAACACGGAAGGTTGGGGGGGGGGGGGGGCAGCAACACGCCCGGCCGCCTTTGTCTCCCCCCAAGTGGCGATGTTGACTACACACGGCACCAGGTGCTCGACTGATGCCCGAGTTGATCTAGGGGGAGGCCCAGGACCGGTTCAGATAATCGTCACCGGTGTTGGCCGTGAGCGGGAATCGAACTCGGGTCGCCAGGTTCGTAGCGCGGCGTAGCGCTAACCGCTGCACCACCGCTCCCCCACACACGGTCTGTTTAGAACTTAATGTGGAGCTTTCGTGACTGCAGGAATTACTCTTTGGTTCTTTCGGTAAAGTCACGTATAAAGAGAAAATAATCAATGAAATACTAGCATACGACGTTTCGATTGCAACACAAGCAATGATCATCAGGTATAAATTAAATAGAAACACAAATCTAGTATACTTAAGGCCTCGACACAGAGGCGTGGTTTCTCTGTGTGCCGATGTACGTTCTCTCTCTCTATGTATCTCTGTGATATCTGTCTCTACTTATATGTCTGTCTAAATGTGTCTGGTTCTGTGTTTTATCTCTCTCTCAAATTTAGCATTCTCAGGAAGAACGTAATCAACCAGGTAGGGTGTTGACTGTTATGTTATCCGACTCTCTGTTGTATTACAATACATTTCTAAGTATACTAGATTTGTTTCTATTTCATTTATACCTGATGACGATTGATTGTGTTGCAATCGAAACGTCGTATGCTAGTATTTAATGTGTTATTTTCTCTTTATACGTGACTTTACCGGTCTGTTTAGAGTCAACCATGAGAACACCCCACACGCAGTCACCCATACGACACAGCCCAGCGGGCAGCGCGATCATTGCTCCCTGCAGGTGGTGGAGGGGGTTCTCGGGGGCAGGATCACGGTTCGAATCCAGCAGCCGACCCTAGTTATTACCACGGTTAAGAGATAACCGCAGCGGTTAAAAAAAGATCCCTCGGACGTTCGCAAGAGCAGGCGGCCCTCCTGCCCCCCACCCAACGCTCGCCGCGTGTCGGGCGGCAGCGGTCCAAATTTTTTGTTCCTAAAAGTCGAAAATTTATCTGGGAGGGGAAAAAAAGGCAATTCGGATGTTTACAGAGCAGCAGTGGTAGCAATTGCGCTCCCACCCCCCACCCCACCACTACCACAACTCTACTGGCAGGCTAATGCCGCACAAGGTCACTCTTGCAAATTATAAGAGACTCCTTGCTTTATCCTCACCCAGTAAAACAAAAATACAACAACGAACGTAAATCGAACTTCCCTGCGCTGGCAATATTATACCGCTCGCCAACCACGGCACAATCTTATTGTTCGTTTCGTCGTGGCGAGACCCGGCATATGCGATGAAATGTCCAAAGAGGGGGATGGATAAATGAATGAATGGGCAGACAAAACTCGAAAAAAACCGCAGCCAACAATAATCCCAAATGCCACGTGCTCGTCATGCGTACACATATCTCTCTCTCGCGCGCATGCGCACACGGGCAAAGTCGCTCTTCCCATCCACATCGCTCCCTTTGCTAATCGGGGGACCCCCCCCCCCCCTCAGTCGTGCACGGTATTCGGCCTCCGATGTCCCGGAATTCGCGATCCACGTGCCGGGAAGCTTTCGTTTCGTTCGTTCACTCATTCTGTTGCGGGAGAGGCTGCCAGCAGCACGAGAAAGGTGGAATGTGTTGGCTGGTTGGCCGCGCCGAATACGGTGGCTAGAAGATGTTAACTATCTCGCCTGGTGTACAGGAGGTCGTGGGTTCGACCCCGGCGCCTGCTGCTGTATATTTGGGGTTTGCGTGTCTCTCTCATCATCATCAAGGTGGCTAGGAGATGTTAACTATCTCGCCTGGTGTACAGGAGGTTGTGGGTTCGACCCCGACGCCTGCTGATGTATATTTGGGGTTTGCGTGTCTCTCTCATCATCATCATCATCATGGGGGCTAGGAGATGTTAACTACCTCGCCTGGTATACAGGAGGTCGTGGGTTCGACCCCAACCCTGACGCCTGCTGCTGTATATTTGGAGTTTGCGTGTCTCTCTCATCATCATCACGGTGGCTAAATGTTAACTACCTCGCCTGGTGTACAGGAGGTCGTAGGTTCGTTCCCGACCCTGTCGCCTGCTGATGTATATTTGGAGTTTGCGTGTCTCTCTCATCATCATCACGGTGGCTAGGAGATGTTAACTCCCTCGCCTGGTGTACAGGAGGTCGTGGGTTCGTTCCCGACCCTGTCGCCTGCTGTTGTATATTTGGAGTTTGCGTGTCTCTCTCATCATCATCACGGTGGCTAGGAGATGTAAACTATCTCGCCTGGTGTACAGGAGGTCGTGGGTTCGATCCCGACCCTGACGCCTAATGCTGTATATTTGGAGTTTGCGTGTCTCTCTCTCATCATGATCACGGTGGCTAGAAGATGTAAACTATCTCGCCTGGCATACAGGTCGTGGGTTCGATCCCGACCCTGACGCCTGCTGCTGTATATTTGGAGTTTGCGTGTCTCTCTCTCATCATCATCACGGTGGCTAGAAGATGTAAACTATCTCGCCTGGTGTACAGGAGGTTGTGGGTTCGATCCCGACCCTGACGCCTGCTGCTGCATATTTGGGGTTTGTGCGTCTCTCTCCACATGATGGTGGATTTTTCTCTGGTTTTCCGTCCACACGTAGAATCAACGTGGCGTTTAGAGTATTTGGCTGCTATACATTTCCATATAAGCCACTTCATTAGACTTGCATTTGTGATAGCAACATTTTGTTTTAGTTTAACGGCACGCACAGCTGCGGTAGAAGCGGAAACTGAAAAGCTGCAACGCTGCCAGAGAACTCCGAACGAAGAAGGGAACTTAAACGAGATATATTAAAAAAACATGCCAATGTAAGAAACCTGTTTTTCTCAAAATGCTAAAGGTCCTAACTCACTTTATGTGAGTGGGGTTCATTTTTTTTTTACAGAAAAAAAACAGCTTCTTTAAATTATCACGGTTATAACAATTATAATACATTTCTTTAAATTAAGGGCTTAAATTATTATCGTGAAAGCGACCCGATGCCAAAACAGTCGGTGTATCTTGACTTTGTCAACGTACGTGACTAACCCTGTATAATAACGCTCACGCAACGCTGCTGAAATGAATGAATACGCGGTTAATTTCTCTCCCTCGCCTTTGTCTTTCATTCCGGCGAAGGGGACGGGGAGGGCAGAGGTCACCCCGAGTGGCACACGCACACAATCGTTACGAAAAAAACAAAACCGAGAGACGCGGAGAGGACGACAATTCATGTATACAAAGCGGGGAGAAAATAATCTGAAACATAGAATATATAACACAAAAAAGAAATTAGGATTCACACCATAAAAACAAACGACTCATTAAAACCCCACGTAGTAAGCACGTACTGCATACGCAAATGTACATATGTACAAAATGAGAACGATGGACGTTGAAAAAAAAATGTACACCAGAGGTTCGGGGTAGATGATATTGACCATGATATTGACCACTCCCCGTTTGCGTATTACGGGCTCAACTCTCCATGAGCGTTCGGCACTCCCCGTCCGCTGGTTCTCACCTGTAAATGTGAAGCCCACATCTAGACATGGAGGGATTTCAGTTGAGTTGTTTTTAAATCCTTTATATTAAGTTCGCTTGCTTGCTTGCGTGCTTGCGTGTTTGCTTGCTTGCGACTGTGCAAATCTTTCGGTCGTTTTTTAACCCACTTCCCGTGATCCAATCGAGCTGACATTTTGCACACAGACTCGTTGTGCGTGACAATTAATTTTCGTGAAAATTTTTTTCCAAAATTTTACACTGTTTAGGGGAATTTTTAAAAAATATTTAATTACCAATTGCTTAATGGTGGCAGGTAATCATCAGACCCATAGGTGGAAGCCATCTCAAGCCAGAGGACGAGAGGACTCTAGCCGCCACGCATATAAAGGATTTATAGTGAAAAACGTTGTTTTTACGGGTTATAATTATTACTTATCTAAGGCTAGAGTGACACACCGATGGAGCGGGTTTGTTTGGGGGCGGCTGGCCAGATTGAACGCCGTAAGAAGCGGTTGGTGGGTGGAGAAAAATATTTAAAAACCTGGGAATTCGTTTTCAATTAGTTTTTTTTGGGGGAGCGGGGAGGGCATATTTAAAGTGGTACGTTTGTAAAATATGCAAAGTGGTAAACGTTACAAGCAAGTTGAACCGAACTTTAAAAAAAAATACCGTATACGCTTTTGAGAACACACACTACATTCGGTATATATATATTATACGTGTGTGTGTTCACGCACAGGGGTCTTGTGACAGTTTTGGTAAACTTGAACAACACAAAAAAGCGTTGAGTGCGCCACAACCTCAGGGGGGGGGGGGGGTGGGAACGTGAACAGCAACACCACCACCACCACCACCGCCACCGCCATCATCATCATCTGCCGCCGCTACGACGTGGGAGAAACTCGACTCTCCGATCGCGGTGGCCGTCAAATAAAAACGTTACCACCACCCGCGCGTTCGTGTGTTGTTGTGTTATGTGTACCCATCCCAGATGAGACCTATACTTGCAGCTGTTGTGGCAGGACCTGCTTGTCCCGCATAGGCCTCTTCAGCCACCAGCGTGCCTGCAGAAGACGTGGATGTCCTTCCTAGATCTTCGTTCGCGAAGCCAAGCCATGATGTTGTGTTATGTGTTGTGTTGTGTCGTGTGTTGTGTTGTTGTGTTATGTGTTGTGTTATGTGTTGTGTTGTTGTGTGTGGGAACGGCACACGGTCAGAGGAGCCGAGCATTGACAACGGCCGGTTGGGGGCTGGAGTGTTCCCCGGAGTTACCTGGGGGGGCAAAAAATAAAAACGGTGCACGCGAGTGCCGCCACTGACTTGCAAACGCATTTTGACAAAACGCACCAATGCATCCCCCATCACCCCACACCGCCCCCCGTTCCAACGTTCGCCGGATCGGTGAATCGGTGTATCCGCGTGCGAATACCACACACGCGGCGGCTCCCTCCGCTCTTGCCACCCCCCTGCCCCTTCTTTGAGACAACCCCGGCTATGAACCACAACCTTCGATATCCACGGTCGGCTACATACGGTGCGAAAGAAGTTCAACGGACGTCAACCCGTACACCACCGCGAAATATTTGAGTGTTTTTTTTTTAAATCATTTATATTAAGTTCGCTTGCTTGCTTACGACCGTGCAAATCTTTCAGTCGTTTTTTAACCCACTTCCCGTGATCCAATGGAGCTGACATTTTCCACACAGACTCGTTGTGCGTGACAATTAATGTTCGTGAAAATTTTTTTTCCAAAATTGTACACTTTTTAGGACAAAAATATTATATTTAATTACCAATTGCTTAATGGTGCAATTCAATCATCTGACCCATAGGTGGCAGCCATCTCAAGCCAGAGGACTCTAGCCGCCACGCATATAAAGGATTTATAGTGAAAAACTTTGTTTTTACGGGTTATACTTGTGCACGACCGGCTACGGCTAACATCAGCGCCTGAACGGGTCGTGGATGGGGATGTGTTCGCGACGACTGTATCGAATGAGGTTTATTATTTCGGTAACTTTCCGGTCCACTACCCTGCCGTGGTTGTAAATTCGTTGCGGTCAGCGGCACCACGGCGCTTGCGATGACGCGGAAGGTCGCGGGCTCGATTCGATCTCCCGGCACGGCAGTCGAAACTACGCTCCGAGAGAAATGTCAACCGCCGATGCCCACAATCGATCGGCGGTTCGCGTGCGGTCGGGTTAAGTGCGGGTACTGGCGCCGCATCCGAAACATCGAACCCACGTATGACACCTCGAGCCGGGCTCTCCGAAGATTTCTCGAGCGGAGGGCCCCCCCCCCTCAACCAGCAGTGGATTGTGCAAAGATATTTCAGGGATTGCGCCTTCATCATTCATTACCCGCAGTCCAGAGAGAGCAGTCAAGTAGCAGCCAATCACAGTTCGCACGTCACTGGCGTCTTTTAAACCTTCATAACTCTGTTTACAGATCGCGCCTTACCACATTTTTTTTTATAAAAAAAAACAAATTTATGCTCTGGCGGTTTCAAAAACCCAATAGCAACTAAACAAAAATGTACCGTACCAATGCATTGAACGAACGCACGCACGCAAATAAAGAATTACGTAGTGTTTTTGTTTAAATTATTCGAAGCTGTAAGATTAAAATCATTTACAAAAGCAATGTCCACTTTTGAAAACCCCCCAAAAAATGCACAATAGTTAAAAAAGTTTAGTTTTGTTAAATGAGGGCAAAATGGTAATATATTGTATTATAAGTATATTCCATATAGATATGTGTGTGTGTGCTGTGTAATATTGGCTCAATAGGGAGTGCAGGTGGTGCATCTGCCATTCATCTCAGTCAAGTCAACCCATGCCATCACCCAGGTCTGTCCCGTGGCCTCCTCCTGCACCTAGCCTGGCACAGGAGTCAACCCATGGCACCCGGGGCAGTCCCGTGACCTCCTCCTGCACCTAGCCTGGCACAGGAGTCAACCCATGGCACCCGGGGCAGTCCCGTGACCTTCTCCTGCACCTAACCTGGCACAGCAGTCAACCCATGGCACCACCCGGGTCTGTCCCATGACCTCCTCCTGCACCTAGCCTGGCACAGCTGTCAACCCATGGCACCCGGGTCAGTCCCGTGACCTCCTCCTGCACCTAGCCTGGCACAGCAGTCAACCCATGGCACCACCCGGGTCTGTCCCATGACCTCCTCCTGCACCTAGCCTGGCACAGGAGTCAACCCATGGCACCAGGGTCTGTACTATGACCTCCTCCTGCACCTAGCCTGGCACAGGAGTCAACCCATGGCACCAGGGTCTGTGCTATGACCTCCTCCTGCACCTAGCCTGGCACAGGAGTCAACCCATGGCACCCGGGGAAGTCCCGTGACCTCCTCCTGCACCTAGCTTGGCACAGCAGTCAACCCATGGTACCACCTGGGTCTGTCCTATGATCTCCTCCTGCACTTAGCCTGGCACAGCAGTCAACCCATGGCACCCGGGTCAGTCCCATGACCTCCTCCTGCACCTAGCCTGGCACAGGAGTCAACCCATGGCACCCGGGTCAGTCCCATGACCTCCTATCAGCGAACCTTTGACACTTCATGCGACGGGCAGCCGCAATATGCACCTAGCCTGGCGCAAGCGCCGTGGGGTGGTCGCCGCCCCCTAGTGGCGAACGGCGGGTTTGACGTGAAACGTTCGGCTACACATTTCAGACGCGTGCGATGGTGGCTGTTTTTTTGTTTGTTTCAGTTCTACCAAAATATCGGACACTATCTCTCTGTACAAAAGAAACATCAGGTAGGTGGCAGCTGGCCACGTGATCAATGCCTCCCCCACAGTCGTACGACGGGCACACGTCGTCCGTGAAATGTTCTCGGTTATGACAAAATCAACAAGGGGAAAGACACGCGATGGGCAATTACAAAAATAACAAAACACAATTGACATTCTCACCCTTCCACTTTGCCCTCCGCCCCCCCGCCCCAAAAAAAAAAACAACTCGAAACCTCTTCAATACGACGCTGGGCCAGACTGCAGAGAGAATATACAATATTTCTCTTCTTAAACGGCGCGCACAAGAGCCGCTTGAGCACGGACGCATCTTCACAAGGTTTACGATGCACTCCTGCCCGTCGCCGATCGAGTTAACACCTCAACATTTGAATTGTTTTGTACGCATGGCCCCCTGTAAAATCGGCTTTGTTTATCGCAAAGGCTTTAAAAAAAAAAACGCCATCGCAATCGGGGCGATGCAGCGACCCGCCGTGACCACGTAAAAAAAAATGGGCCTCACATACTTTCGTAATTAATCGACCGGCTTGATGACGACGACGACATCCACATCAAGCCCAAAATCATGAGCCAGAAGCTCCGCGCCGATTTCGCACACGTTCCGCGGTGGAACTCGGCGGCCAAAGCAGCAACGGGTGCGCGCGGTCGTACGTGCATGCCGGCGACTCTGAGATGGTGGTGCCAATTCCACGTCACCATGGCGCGCGGGGGGTCCCAGTCTGTCCGTAACACGACTGCTGGCTTCCCACTCGTTTTAGACGGCGGAGGGATGGACGGGTTGGGGCTGCATCGACCCCCGACGACCAGGATTTGAACTTGTGACCTTCCGAGTAGCGAGCGGATCGCGCTCTAAAGCCGCAGCGTTGCAGTGCTCTTCATTGATTTGGGGGAGGTTGTCATTTTCGTCGCACGTCGCGAGACGCAACGAACTCTGCTGACCTGCAACCCCCACGCCAACCAAATGACGAGAGAGAGGTGAGTGGGTGGGTGAGCGACTGGGTGAGTGAGTGGGTGTGTGAGTGGGTGAGTGGGTGGATGAGTGTGTGGGTGAGTGTATGAGTGGGTGGTGTGTGAGTGGGTGTGTGAGTGGGTGAGTGGATGGATGTGTGGGTAAGTGTGTGAGTGGGTGGATGAGTGAATGAGTGAGTGGGTGGATGAGTGTGTGGGTGAGTGTGTGTGTGAGCGACTGGGTGAGTGAGTGAGTGGGTGAGTGTGAGTGGTTGGGTGAGTGGGTGGATGAGTGTGTGGGTGAGTGTGTGAGTGGGTGGATGAGTGAGTGAGTGGGTGTGTGAGTGTCATTTGTGGCTGGGTCGCTTTCGAACGGTAAGTGAATACACCTCGGTGGTTTCTGTCTGGTAGGACGGGGATGGTTTACTCCTATTTGTATGTGCTTGATAGATTTGTTCACCTTTCCTAGACTTTGCGCTCCTATCGTGTCTTCGTACTGCGTCTTGCTGTTGTGACGTTCTTATCCGACTGGACGCATGTGATAAAATGCTTCACATCTCATCGGATTCCTCCGGCCTACAAAAACATTCTGATTCTCGACGAACAGGGGCCGCCGCGACCGCCCCAATCTGTCCGTTCCGTCGCCCGCGACCACGGCTGGAGGCCACGGGTTGCCCTCGGTCGGCAATCGACGGTTCGACGCGGTGGCCGCGCGTCCACGGGACGGACATCGACGGAGGTGGAAACGGCAGAGAGTTATCCCGGGACTTCGACCAAACCGAGGGCGCTTGGCAGTGAAAACGATCTCCCCCTCCTTCCGTGGGAACTTCATCGCCGCTTTTGTTTCGTCCGTTCCTAACAGTACTTCCCAGATAGTTTTGTTTTCCTTTTAAGGTTATATATATTTTTTTGCTTTGGGAATGGCTTAATGTACTAAAAAAACGTGCAAAACGATAGACGAAATGAAACCATACGCGGGGGTAGGGGGGGGGGCTTCACAAAAGTTTGTCCGCTTTTCCCTGGGGGAGGAGGGGAGGGGATGGCGGTAGGGCCCCCCCCCCCCCTCAACTTACGAAATATCGCCCCGGTTCGTAAACGGGGGAAAAGCGTGAACCTTCCATTCTCCTCGACGACGCGCACGGGCGAGAAAGCGACATTAATGGGAACCCCCACCCCACCGCCTCCCCCCCCCCCCTCCCTTTCTAAAAAAGACCCCAAAAAACCGGTGCCGGTTTTCAAAATGCCGAACAACATCCACCGTCAACCCAAACCCAGCCTCGTCCATTTTCCGGCGAGGATTTTCCTCGTTTTTTTTTTCTTCTTCGCCAATTTTAAAAAAGGTTTCCCACGCGACGCGGGCGTCTTTCAAGGTTTACGGTCGCGCCAGGTCAATTCCGAGTTCGGTGGACGCGAAAAGCCGCGCGAGATCGCGCTCGCCATTACACACACACACACACAAAGTGCTCGTCACAAATGAACCACAATATAACAACACCCTTGCCGATCTCGTCAAGGGGCATAAACCATCATCACGCGAACGTCGGTCACCCGCGCAGCGGCGGCTTTTGGCTCGCCATCGAAACAACGGACGGTCACACCGCCGTCGCGCGCTTTCAGATGCGCTTCTGCGGCCGTCTGGAATGCTGTTTCCTTCTGATATTAGGAAGCCGCCGGAGCATCTTCTCGATTGAAAACTCATTTCTTTTGAACTGCTTGTTTGTTGTGTTCAGTTTGTCGTCCTTCCCCCGCACCTCCGATTGGCCACGGTTGGCTAAGGTACGGTGCAAAAGAAGTTCAACGTACGTACGGACATATGTAGGTGGGCGGGCAGGCGTGAGGAACACGGAATCTGTGCATTCTTTTTTCTTGAAGCGTGAAAGTCTACACGACTTGGCGAGCCACCCTCCCCCCCCCCCCCGCGGTTTTTTGTCTCCATTTTTTTTATTCGCCCCCCCCCCACTCCTCTCCCACCGTGGAACCGTTGCCGTGGCGACGATCACAGCGCAGTCCCCGCAAGATGGTCGCCAGAAAAAAAATTATGAAAACAAACGTACAGCAAGTAATAACCAAGTCACGTGATCGTACGGGCGCGGCCGCGATTGGCTGGCACCTGGGCGACACGTTCACGAGCCAAGCGACGGGGCCACGTTACGATCGTCACGGGAAAAAGGGTGGGAGGGGGTGGGGGAGGGAAACGAACAAGATTCGCCGCCCGCTTTCGCGAGCTTTTCGTTTCGTCCGACGATTTTGCAAGAGCGCGTCGAAGGTAAACAAACAAAAAAAAAGATGAACTACTCCCGAGTCCGCCGGCGTCAGGGGGACGCGCTGAAGCGTTACAAGGAAACCCGCGTTAAATTAGGAGCTGAAGGAAGACGCAATGGGGGGAAAAAAAGAGCAACTTCGCTTCAATTTCGTAGACAAGCAAACACCTCCGTGAGCCGCGTCTCCCCCCCCCCCCCCGCCCGTCGACAGTTCCGCGCAAACTCCGTCGTTCGCCGGAAAAGAAATATCAAAGGCAGGGGGGACACGGGTGACTTAAAGGTGCTCCTGCCGTGGTATCGCCCTCTGGTGGTCGAACCCCTGCAGTTCCCACCCACCCCCCCACCCACTCCACCCAACTCCGCTCGCGAGGTCACAGCAACGTGACCCCCATTCCCCCCCCCCCTTTTGGCGACGTCCCAACTCGCGCTTATGTTGGCGCCGTAGCGCGGTAAAGTCGGACGCCCGACCACAAGCTTCAGCTTTCACTTTTAAATCACCCATCAGCCCACGTATGGAGGAAAGACAGGGGTGGCATCTCCTCTAAGTGGGGAGGGGGGCTATTCAAAGCCCGCAGTCGTAACTGGCCGAGCGAACCCAGGCATTAAAATTTGTGCGGTTGCCATTTCCAGTTTACTTTAACCTCTTTTATATATATATTTGTGTAAAAATGTTTTTTCACGATTGCAGCTATTAATATTTACAGGAGGCCCTTTTTAGCCGCCGCATCGCCGAGGAGCGTTAAAAGCGTGCCGGCCAGACTCTGATTTAGTGTCGGTTTGTGTGTTTCTTTTGGTTGCGTCTTCCTTTAGCCCGCTCCCCCACCCAACCGCGCCTCCCCCCCCACCGCCCAATCCTCCCCCGCCACGACAACGCTTTCTCAAGTTGATAAGTTTACTAAACGGGGAGGGAGAGGGGGGGGCGGGGGGGGCAGGCGAGACAACAAATCCGTTAGGCTTCAGCGTGAAAATTCATCGAGACGCCGAGTGGTGTAGAACGGGGGGGGGGGGGGGGGGGGGGCGGGTAGGGGGGGGGTGATGGCTAGGATGGAGAATTAAATTCACAGCTTTTCCTTCGAAGGCACCCAGATGAATGGTCCCGACTGCTCTTCGATAATCTGCTTCCCCTGGCTGTAGATCTCTTCCAAGGTGTCGCCCTGAATGACCGCTGCGGCGGGAGAGGAGGGGGAGGAAAGAGGAGAAAAAAAACATCATCAGAATCTTTCTTTTTTGTTGCAACAGGAAGCAAGGAATCCGACGAGCCACTAGGCTCTTTTTCACCACGGGACGTTCAGTTCGGGGCGGGCCAACGAGTAAATAACAGCAAACAATGGTTCTCATCTTCCGGAAAGATGGTCCCCGCAAGAGGGAGATTCGCGGATAGCCAAAGTCGCGGACAGCGAGTTCGCGAACAACGAGGGAATACGGTACACGTTTGTTCATCTGTTACGGCGGGTTTTTGACCAATCTTCACAAAGTTAACACAGAACGTACTTTGGTGCAAGTCGGTGCGAGGTCTGGGCCTGGTTCAGATGTAGCTCGCCACGGATGTTAGCCGTGACTGAGAATTGAACTTGGGTTGCTGGGTTCCTAGTGCAGCCCACGAACTCAAAGGGAATTGAGGGGTCGGTTGGGAGACCGTTAATGGGGAGCCAACAGTGGCTAGGAGATGTTAACTCCCTCGCCTGGTATACAGGAGGTCGTGGGATCCATCCCAACCCTGACGCCTGTATATTAGGAGTTTGCGTGTCTCTCTCTCTCCCCGTGGTCGCGTGGATTTTCCTCCAGGTCCTCCGGTTTTTCCCTCCACATTTAGAATCCACATGATGCATTTAGAGTATATGATGATGATGATAGGCTCACTTCGTTGAAAACTATCATTTGTGAAAGCCAGGTCGCTTCTGACAAAAAGATCTGTATAGCTCAGCGAGCAGATCCTGGTAAAAAAAAACAATAATATTAACTGCCGCACCATCCCGTAATACATCCAGGCCCCACGTGTCAATCCAGGAGGTGGAGGAATCGTGCATGACACCCCGGGGGCCACATTTAATCACGGGCGGCTGACAGGTTTTCAACTCGGGAATCTCAGCGGTGCCAGGCTCAGATCTACGATTAAGCTGCAATCTCTCAAGCGTAAATGAGAGTTTGCAATAAATAACAAGCACAACAGTTTTGATTCAAAGCTTTCGTGACTGCAGGGATTCATGTTCTTGGTTCTTTCGGTAAAGTCACGTAGAAGGGAAGAAATAAAATGATAAAAATATAAAACAATAAAAATTCTCACGACGTTTCGACTGCAACACAAGCAATCATCATAAGGTGATGAGAATTTTAATTGTTTTATATTTTTATTATTTTATTATTTCCCTTCTACGTGCAACACAAGCAATCATCACCTGATGATGATTGCTTGTGTTGCAGTCGAAAGGTCGTGAGAATTTTTATTGTTTTATATTTTTATTATTTTATTATTTCCCTTCTACGTGACTTTACCGAAAGAACCAAGAATAAGCACAACAATAATAATATTACGAACAATATTGGTGCTAAGAAACTCTTCTGCCGGCCGTTCAATGACAGCACACGCTGGGGCGGATGAAACTGGCTTACGACGTCGACAGCAACAACTGAAACACATTTCGAATAGAAAAAACCCAACGTCGTGTGTGTACGTATATAAATGTATATATTTAAACATGAAAGACCAATCCCGCTGTAGAAGTACACTAATAGCAATAATACAAAACATCAATTTGCATTTAACTGTCGAGGCTTCCAGTAAGATAATAATTTATCATATTTTTTACTGGAAAATGATGTTCCAATGGTGCTCCCAGTAAGCTTTCGCATCCAGTATAGGTCAGACATTTCCTGGTCTATAAAGCTCTGCATGGTCTTGGATCAATGTGCCTGCGGGCCTGACTGATCTTCCATACGACTGGGGTTGATATCTCGACTCTCTGCAGGACAGGACCTACCACTCTCCCCTCCCAGCCTTCTCAAGCATTGCCCCAAGAGTCAATATTTTCTCATGGCTTTTGCTTAAACATTATTTTCACTGCCTTTGCATTTTATTTGATTGTAGAATGTTTCGATATCCCCCCCCCCCCTCCCCGCATTGAAAACAAGAAAAATGCCGCTAAAAAATATGATAAAATGTTGCATAACCTCATCCACGTGATCAATCGTGTCTTTATTTTTTCGTGAATATTTGTCTTGGAGGGCACTGGACATTTATAGCCAAGAGGGGCCCTCGTACGATCATCGGCTTTTCATGATCGCGAAACAAAAATCTCAAAGCTCTTCACTGGGGTTCAATTGATTATTCATGCAATCGCGCATCGGGCTTAACCACTAAAATTCCCGGCGCTTTCATTTCGTTCAAATAAATTGTCGGCATTAGTCCGCTTTGAAATGCATTTAAACTCACATTCGCTAATTCTCAATAGCCCCTTCACCACGACGAATATTCCGTCTATTGTTCGTCGTTGTCGGCGTGCACTCGCTAATTTGCCTACTCGCAAACATCGCTCGCTGGCAGGATGGCACTAAATGTGCCCATCAGTAAACTCACTCCCTCGTTTTAAAGCTTTCGTGACTGCAGGGGTTCATCTTCTTGGTTCTTTCGGTAAAGTCACGTAGAATGGAAATAATAAAATAATAAAAATAAAACATAATAAAATAATTCTCACGACGTTTCGGCCACAACGCAAGCAGCCGTCCTCAGGTGAAGAACAGGTCTGTCAGGAAGACAGCGTCTGAAGTGCATTTAAACTCAGACCTGTTCTTCACCTGAGCACGGCTGCTTGCGTTGTGGCCGAAACGTCGGGAGAATTCTTTTATTATGTTTTATTTTTATTATTTTATTATTTCCATTCTACGTGACTTTACCGAAAGAACCAAGAAGATCACTCCCTCGTGTTTTCGCAAAGGCCCTCAACGTCTCCCCCTTCGGTCTATTCCCCTGAGGTCCGTCATTTTCATCGCAGCTGGCACAGCCAGCGGTTGACCAATTTTTCCCATTTCACACGAATGTTGCGAGAAACCCCTTTCGATCTATTTGTCGGCTTATCTGTTTCCCTTTTTTTTTGACGCGCTACGAAGCGGCGGGGGGGGGGGGCACATTGCTCAAAGTGTCAATTATTATGATTTTCCATTTAAGGCCAACGCAGTTGACATTGACGAATGCGTTGAGTTTTGTTGTTGGGATTCTGCCAGTCTGTTGTTAATTTTGCCTGTGCACCACTACCATGTGTGTTTTTTCCTGTACGCCGAGCCGCAACGAACAAACACCGACCCACACCTCTCGCCAACCCCCCAAACTGGCAACAACGCCGGCACCTCCTGCCCTGGTGACACTTGAGGCCCCTTCCTTGAGATCCGATTGGCCGCCCCCACGCAGTGACCCTGTTTGTCACGTGTGTGACAAAGGTCACGTGTGTGACAAACACACGCATGACCTTTCCCTGTCCCCTGCGCTTAGTTCCCGGTCCACTGGGGCGTAGCAGCGGCGAGATGTTCACTACCTCGCCTGGTATGCACGAGGTCGTGGATTCCATCCCGATCCTGACCCCGACGCCTTGCTGTACACATTTGGAGTTTGCGCGTCTCTCTCTCCTCGTGGTCGCGTGGGTCCCCCGGTTATTTCGTCCACATTTAGAATCGACGTGCGTTTGGAGTATTTGGTTGCTATAAACATTTTAGCAGGTAAGGCCCACCGAGCTATGAAATAGCTCTTTTTTAGAAGTGACCTGGCTATCACAAATTATATCTCAACGAAGTCGCGTGGATATTTATAGCAGACAAATACTCTAAAAGCGTTAAAGTCGATTCTAAATGTAAAGGGGAAAAACCGGAGGACCCGGAGAAAAATCCACGCAACCACAGGGGGGAGAGAGAGAGAGACACGCAAACTCCAAATATACAGCAGGCGTCAAGGTCGGGATGGAACCCACGATCTCCTCTATACCAGGCGAGGTAGTTAACATCTCCTAGCCACCGTGATCATGATGAGAGAGAAACACGCAAACTCCAAATATACAGCAGGCGTCAAGGTCGGGATGGAACCCACGATCTCCTCTATACCAGGCGAGGTAGTTAACATCTCCTAGCCACCGTGATGATGATGATAGAGAGACACGCAAACTCCAAATATACAGCAGCAGGCGTTAGGGTTAGGATCGAACCCACGATCTCCTCTATACCAGGCGAGGTAGTTAACATCTCATAGCCACCGTGGGGCGCCCCTGAAACGCGTTCAAGAACTGCCGATTCGCCGAGCGTGGCTGATGAGAATGCCGACCCACCTGTGAAAAACTCCCCAAACTCCTGCTCAAGCTTCAGTGCTCGGTCGTACATCTTCTTTGCTTGCTCGTCCGTCAGCCTCTTGTTCATTTCACTGTTGGAACAACAACAACAACAACAACGTCGTCATCCTCTTGGTTCTTTCGGTAAATTCACGTAGAAGGGAAATAATAAAATAATAAAAATAAAACATAATAAAATACAATTCTCACGACGTTTCGGCCACAACGCAAGCAGCCGTCCTCAGGTGAAGAACAGGTCTGTCGAGAAGACAGAGTCTGAATGACACGTCCTAGGCTTGGAGCGTCTATTTAAGCTGGGAGGGAGGAGGAAGAGCGCCTTGACAAAATAATTTGCATATCAAGAGGAATGTTAGCATATTTATGGGAAATGCAGATATGCGACTAGTACTACTTGTGAAATGCGTAGGAGGTTTGGCGGGGGGTTTAAAGTCATGTTTTGCCCGTGCATTATGCAGGACCAGCAGCATCAAAGGGAGAGGATAAGGGAAAGCATTAAATCGAAATTTAAAAACAACAACAATTTCGTCATCCGGCTGGAAGCGAACATAATAACGAAACCCTTTCCCGTCCCGAGACGTCTGCAAGCTGCAGCAGGGCGTGGGTGGGTGTCCCGTTCGCTGCTGAATCTCGGAACGTCTGAGCAGTTCAGCGTTAAATGTTATTTACAGAGGCGTATTAGCAGCGTCGTAGTTTTCTAAGACATTGTTACTCGCCGCAGAGAACCGGACTGATGTACTAGTTCCGAATCGGTATGTTCTGTTGACGTGACAAACTTTACTAATTGGCTGTGTCTGGTGATGGTGGCGGGTTTAACGGCACTTTCATATTCCCGCGTTCTAACCCAAAAAGAGTATATTGTGGATAATATTGTGTTATTTATATATAATATTTTTTATTAAATTGTGATAATGTTAGAACAAGCAAACAACTACAATTCCGGTCGTGACGTTGCTCCGAAGACCGGTAGAGATTGACGATCATTCACCGCATTTCGCAGCGGACTCCGCAACCGACAGACAACGGAAGATGGCCGCCTGCTGCCGCCACCTTCCGCTCAACATCTCAATGCAAGGACCGGCTCCCAACGTTGCAGGTTGGTCGCTTGACGGCAAAACAACAAAGCCCCACCCCTCCTACGACTGACACGACCGCGGGGGGGAGGAAGGCAAGTCATCCAGCAGTGGATTGACAAAAAGACCGTAGATTAATACGGCAAGCGGATGACGGGGCGTTGGGTGGGGGGAGACGTTGATCCCGAGGCCTACGGCTTACAACATTGACGACGCCGATGTCTGAATCCCCTTCCTGAGCGGTCTTCGCCAACTTCCCACACGAGCCAGTTCGATTAAGTACGAGCAAACAACAACCCCCATCGTTAACAAGGCGTTGGCCGGGATGGGCGTGGAACTAAAGCCAGTGTCACGCGGATTTACAAAAGAGCTGTAAGTAAATCTACTAAGTCAATAATTATACAATGTGGCATTGTTCTTCTTTGCCTTGCTCTAGTTTGCAATACATTATTTGTTTAACACAAACGTGCAGCCACAAGGTGGAGCTGCATGTTTAGATTGATGACAAAATCAACAATAATGCGTTTACAGGGACTCCTCTACTTACGATCATTTGACCTTGGAACTTTCAGAGATACGAACAAACCTGTTCGTATGTCCAGTTGCCTGTTCAGACCGAGATCCACAAGTTCAACCGCCGCTCAACAGATGGCGACGGTGGCATCTACATCTGCAGGAGATTATACAACTTTCAGGCCATTCCCCGTGTTTAGTGTACACGCGGTACAACGTGTTTGCAATCGACAGGAGTAAAGCTGGACTTACGAACAAATCGACTTACGAAAAGGCCTCTGGAACCCAACTCCTTCGTAAGTAGAGGAGAGTCACTGTAATTAAGAATTCAAATGTTGGGGAAGTACGCTCAAACGATAACTCACGCCCGAGACGGTGTGGTGTGTGGAGGCCTTCTTTCATTCAACACAAGGCTCCATCCACGACTTCTTTTCTAAGTCGTGGATGTTTGGCCAATTCCTCTTCTGCGCAATTAGTGCGTGTTAATGCGTTCCCCAATGCAATCAACGCGTTAAATTGCGGGTGAAAATAAATGCAAATTAAATCGTTAATCATCCACGTAGCGGGCGCAGACGATGAGCGCCGGGGGCAATCTCTCCACACGGGTGGTGGCGGAGGTGATTTGCGATGGGGGAGTAGCGGTGCCGCGGTTAGCGTGCCGCGCTGCGAACACTCCAGTGACCAGAGTTGGGGCGCCACGCTGGCGAGATGTTAACCGCCTCGCTTGGTACACAGGAGGTCGTGGGTTCGATCCCGTTCCTTACGCCTGCTGTATATTTGGAGTTTGCGTGTCTCTCTCTCTCTCTCTCCCTGTGGAGATGTTAACTGCCTCGCCTGGTACCTTCTTAATACCGGGCGCCTGGTATCCAGGTATCCTCCTGGATACATGGCGGGTCCCTCCCGGTTTTTCCCTCCACATTGAGAATCAACATGCGTTTATAGAGTCTACATTTTCACATGATAAGCCCCAATTATGGCCAGGTCAATTCTGAATAAGTATAACCCGTAAAAACAAAGTTTTTCACTCTAAATCCTTTATATGCGTGGCGGCTAGAGTCCTCTCGTCCCCTGGCTTGAGATGGCTGCCACCTATGGGTCAGATGATTGTCTGCAGTATTAAACAATTGGTAATTAAATATTTAATTTGTTTTCCCTAAACAGTGTAAAATTTAGGAAAAAAAATTTCACGAACATTAATTGTCTCGCACAACGAGTCTGTGTGCAAAATGTCAGCTCGATTGGATCACGGGAAGTGGGTTAAAAAACGACCGAAAGGTTTGCACGGTCGTAAGCAAGCAGGCAAGCACGCAAGCGAACTTAATATAAAGGATAAATTTCGATTTAAAGCTTTCGTGACTGCAGGGATCCATCTTCTTGGTTCTTTCGGTAAAGTCACGTAGAAGGGAAGCAATAAAATAATATTTTATTTTATTATGTTTTATTTTTATTATTTTATTGCTTCCCTTCTACGTGACTTTACCGAAAGAACCAAGAAGATTAATATAAAGGATTTAAAAAGAGCAACACAGCTCTGTGGGCCTTAACATGACTGGCAAGGGATATCCAGACCAGTTTCCCACATCCCTTTCCCCACTGCACCGGGCTGGGGAGGCCTTCATCTAGCAGTGGAGAGGCAAACGTTTTTTTTTTTTTACACATTCTTAGCTTTTTCGGTAAAGTCACGTAGGTAAAAAATGTAAATTAATAAAAGTAAAATAAAACAAAATAAAAAATCACGACGTTTCGGAAGCAACACAAGTCTCCGTCTTCAGGTGGAACCGTCACAGCCACTTTACCGAAACCTAAGAATATGAATCCTTGCAGTCACGAAAGCTTCAAATCTAGAATTTTTTTACACACTTATCATAAAGAACTCATTGAGAACAGAAGTTTGTTGTTCAACGAAGACTTGGTCTGTGCTGTTAACGAGCACCTATTAAAAGCCGCTTACGGCACACGAGGGGGGGGGGGGTGGCCAGCACCACGCCTGGCCAGCTTTGTCTCCCCAGTGGAGATGTTTACGACCTCGCGGATGCGCAGGAACCGGTTTGGATAAATCGTCGCCGCTGTCGGCGGCGGCGGCGGCCGTGAGCGGGAATCAAAACTCGGGTCGCCGACTGGGTTCGTAGCGCAGCAGTGCGCTAACCGCCGCGCCACCGCTCCCCACGATCATCGCAACACACAACGTGGGCGAGTCACCCACCAAAGTTCAGTGGCAGAGATGGGCCACGGGGGGCTCACAGCGGGGGCGCCGAGGTTCGCGGTTCGAATCCGGCGGGCCGTCCTGGTTATCATCACCGCGCGGGATGTACGAACAGACACGAGGCTGGTTGTGTGCAAACATAACAGGGGCTTCTACTCACAGGATGGACTCCAGGGACTTGGGCTTGATGAAGATGGCGATGGGGTAAAGCTGCGCAATCTGGAGCCTCTTGATCGCATTTCCAGAAACGTCCAATATGCAGTGCTTGCCCTTCTCCAAGTTTGCAGTGGCAGACGCACACACGGTGGGGAAGAGAGAGAGGGCGCGGGGGTGGTGAGTACCGGTCAACCGTACGCTGGGCAGCGGCGTGCCCCCCGTTGGGTCGGGTCGTGGATGAACGGAACCAAGACGTGTCGACGGCTCGACGTCAGGGGGTTCCGAGTCGCGTCGCATTCGTGGCGTCGCCGCGGTGACCGCGTCGTCACGACCACCGCGTCGTCACGACCACCGCGTCGTCACGACCACCGCGTCGTCACGACCACCGCGTCGTCACGACCACCGCGTCGTCACGACCACCGCGTCGTCACGACCACCGCGTCGTCACGATCACCGCGTCGTCACGACCACCGCGTCGTCACGACCACCGCGTCGTCACGATCACCGCGTCGTCACGACCACCGCGTCGTCACGACCACCGCGTCGTCACGATCACCGCGTCGTCACGACCACCGCGTCGTCACGACCACCGCGTCGTCACGATCACCGCGTCGTCACGACCACCGCGTCGTCACGATCACCGCGTCGTCACGATCACCGCATCGCCGCTAACCGACCCCGTTTTTAGGAATTGTGGTTAGAGGGCGGTGGCATGAGGAATGGATGACCTATATCTTACCTTAAAACCGTTGGAATACCTTATGCCAGAAAAAGTGTGTTGACCAGTGTAATCTAGGATGCGTTGGTCTTTGAAACTGATTGACCTACACCAGAAACAGCCTTCTTTATGGCCTCGTCTCACCACCGCTGTATCGTGGGATACTTTCTTTTCAGTGAATACATCATCAGAGAATGTTTGTTTGTATGTTTACCACAAGCAGTGTGTGTGTGGTTAATGCAGACTTCATTCCTTGCAAAAGGTTTCTTCTATTTGGTGTCTGAACACATCTTAACACCCGTGTTGTTGTATTGCCAGACGGAGTAAACACCTATCATTATTTTTCATACTTTGATACTGGCAACAACAACAAAAAAAGCCCCCATGATACGAATGTTCGAAACGGTTTCTCTCGATCTCACGCACGCGCCGTTATGTCACGGCGTGTGCGTGAACCCCTCCCAAAAGGCGCACGGTGTTGGTGGGGGGGGGGCGGATTTAGTTTTGGCCGCCTATTCACCCCCCCGGGGGATGCTTGTCGCAAGCCAAAAATAATTGGCGAATCGCTCGCGCCGCCTCATCCCGCCAATAGTTGCCGTTGCCTAAAGTCGGCTTAAACAAAATATTCGGAAGAGACGTCAACAAAAAAAAGTTGGAGGCGACGGGCCGATGCGCGCGTCTGCCAAACCGCCGAGCGAACGAGCGAGCGGGTTACTTCCCCCCCCCACCCCACCCCCCCCGCGGGCATCGAAGGGCGCTTAACGTCGCGCTTTGATCAGGATGGCCGTCTTTATTTCTTAATGCAGGAAGTGGAATCCGATGAAGCTATTTTTTTTCCCCAGAGATGTCCAGTGAAGTGTCGGCGGGTCAGAAAGCCACGACAGCAAACGATAGGAAGACACGATAGGAGTGCACGGTATATAGGAAAGGTACGCAAATCACTCAAAATATAACCAAGCTATTTATTTATTTTACCAGCTAAAGGCCAGCTATTGGCTTCTTTTCCAGAAGCGACCTGTAAATTATCGAAGCTAATTAATCCTTCCCCGTTACGAGAAAGTCTGGGCGTCCCATTCAACGCTCAATCTCGGAACGCACAAGCGGCTCAGCAGTAACTTCATTTAGAGAGACGCCGTAGTGGCAGCGCTGCCGTTTCTAAAGACGTGCTGCTGCAAACGCAGAGAACCGTAGCGACACGACCGCCTTCACGCTACGAATATCTGGCGTCCAGACTGTGCCACACGTCCTCCCGAGTGGCTTTTGATTTCCGATTCCGTTCCGGTGACGTACGCGTACATTTACTTACGTACGTCACCCCGTTATAGACAGACGAACAGTGCTGACGCGCAAACGCCTTCAAACCCAACGAGAAACTGTTGACAAATCCACGGTGATGCGCGGCCGCCACCTTTCACGCATCGCCGTCCCGAAATACTTGGCTCGGAACAATTACGAACGGGAGACGCGGCCGTTGGGCGGCACACGCGCGCATCAAACTCTTTTGACGCAAACGCCGTTTTTTTTATTTGCCGACTTTCCAGACGTTACGAAAAAAACCATCTTTCGCTTTGGCTCGCGGCCGAACTGAGCCATGGGGGGGGAGGGGGGGGCTGTATGCCCGAGTGCAACCGATAGCCGTTGCAGCAGGGACAGAGAGAACGTGCGTCTCTTTTCTTGAGAATGTCAGGTTTAAAAATAAATGTAAAAGTAGGAGGAGGAAATGCAACGGTAACTTACGACCGTGTTTTTAAATTCCATTTTTTTTGCTAAATGCCACATTGTGTCAGATCCTTTTCGCTAGTGTCAAGCATAACGTGGTTCTTTTTTGAATGGCTCACCAGATTTAAATGGCGCAGTCCTAGATCTGTATTTGTCATGTTTATTAAATGTCACTGCTTTTGTGATATGCTGCCCCTGTAAAACGTACCCCGCACCCCCCCTGTCACGGGCGGAATGACGAACAAAAAAAAAGTAAAGTCACGCAGAAAGAAAATAAATTAAATAATGGAGTACGACGTTTCGATTGCAACACAAGCAAACGTCATCAGGAAGAAATAAACTTGAGAGAGAGACAAAACACAGACAGACACACAAGCAGACAGACAACACACAGACACAGAGAGAGACACACACCATAGACACACAGACAGACACACAAGCAGAAAGAGACAACACAGACACAGAGAGAGACACACAACACAGACACACAGAGACACACTGCCTCCCCCACCTCTCTCTCTGCCCACCCACCCTCTCTTTCTATTTAAGGCCTCGACACAGAGACATTGGGTCTCTGTGTGTCTATGTTGTGTGTCTCTGTGTGTGTCTCTGTGTGTCTCTGTGTGTGTCTGCATTGTCTCTCTCTGCTTGTGTGTCTGTGTTTTGTCTCTCTCTCAAATTTAGTTCTACCTGATGACGTTTGCTTGTGTTGCAATGGAAACGTCGTACTCCGTTATTTAACGTATTTTCTTTCTACGTGACTCTACCGAATAATCCAAAGAGTGCTTCCTGGCAGTCACGAAAGCTTCAAGTCAAGTTTGAAAACAAGTATAACCCGTAAAAACAAAGTTTTTCACTATAAATCCTTTATATGCGTGGCGGTTAGAGTCCTCTCATCCTCTGGCTTGAGATGGCTGCCACCTATGGGTCAGATGATTGTCTGGCAGCATTAAACAATTGGTAATTAAATATTTAAAAAATTTCCCTAAACAGTGTAAAATTTTGGAATTTTTTTTCTCACGAAAATGCATTGTCACGCACAACGAGTCTGCGTGCAAAATGTCAGCTCGATTGGATCACGGGAAGTGGGTTAAAAAACGACCGAAAGATTTGCACGGTCCTAAGCAAGCAAGCAAGTGAACTTAATATAAAGGATTTAAAAAAAAAGTTGTTTAAACATTCAGGAGCCGGGAGGAAAGGGGCCGGCGCCGCAGCGGCGCGTTACCTTCTCGGCCACCTCGCGGACAGACAGCACGCTGGTGCCGTACAGGTTCTCGTTGTACTGCCCCGCCTCGATGAACTTATGCTCCTGGATGTCCCTCTCCATCTGCTCCCGCGACACGAAGTGGTAGTCGCGACCGTCGATCTCGTACTCGCGCTTGGGCCGCGTCGTGTCTGTCGTGGCGGTCGACACGGTCGGCGGAACACAATTAGTCACGATTTTTATTTTTGTTTCGACACACCACCGACGATTTTCTTCACCCGCTGTCTACCCGGAGCACGCTACGCGCTCCCAACGTCGACCAAGGCGCGGTCCGCCGTTACGAGTCGCTGCGCGCGTGGTCCTAAAGTTACGGAGTTCGTTGTTGTCTTCAAGAAACAGGTGAGTGGGGCGGGGGAGTGACACGTGGGAGAGGCTAGGAGCTGTGTGTGATGGCTGGGGGGGGGGGAATCTCATACAGTGTCCGAGTGACACTGGGCTCAGAGGCCCCAACCGTGCCCGGGGGGGGAAGGGGGGGGGTAATGTAAGAGGACCTTTTACGAGTGGATCCCATGTTCTTTTGACGCTCACTCACTTTCGTACGCAAGTAACGTATATTGACGCAGAGCAACAACAACAACCACAGCGTCACATTCAGGCGGCCAAGCCCAGATAACCGCGTCAGGAGCAAAGGAGTCGTGCATATCCCTGTGATGCATGTACGCGTGTTGAACTTCGTTCGCGCCGTACGTAGCCAGCCGCGCTCCTCATCGCGGAGGTGCGCGTGCATCTCTGATGGTCCAGAGAGGCCACGTCTGACGCAGGCATTTGTTGTTCCGTGGACACCAAGCAGACGTCGCAACCCGATACCCGGCTACCCGTACCCGGCCAGGTACGGGTACCAGTTTGCAACCCTGGTGCGGCCGGGTACGGATACGGGTAGGCCGTGAGTCACTGGTGAGTAACCGTTTGTCACTCATTTCGGGTAGGGTACGGGTAGGGAACGGGTACCCGTACCCGGCTGGGTACGGGTACGGGTACCCATTTGCGACCCTGGTGCGGCCGGGTACGGGTAAGGAATCATAACCCGTTTGCGACCTCTTGACACCAAGCGTGGGCGGTTCGTAGAATTTTCCCATGCGGCTCAACGTAGTGAAATGTTTTCGAGGGGAGCCGTTGTCCACGTTCTTTCGTTGAGGTCAAATCTTTAGTTGGAATTTTACGCCCCCGACCCCCGCCCCCCAGTGACCCTTTTAGCTATCCACTGCGTACTTCTTCCGCAGAAGCCTAACAAAAGTGGCCTGGTATTTCGACGTACGCTGGTGATCGTCTCCCATCCGAGCACTCGCCAGGCTCAAGCCTGCGTCGCGTCCGAGAGGTTCCTGATGAGACGGGCAGAATTTTTTTACGGGGCCCATTGACTTTCGCGGGAAAGTAAGCCGGGATACTCCTTACGTGGCACGCAGGAGCCGAACTTGTCCGGAAACTCTGAGATGAGGTCGTCGTTGACCCGATCCTTCATCGGTCCCAGGATGATGACCGGCCGGGTGTAGCGAACTGGACGAGCAGACACAAAGACAAAGATCCCCCGTACAGCAAGTGCAGTTAAGCGAGTAGCACCTCTGTCCTATTCTATGTCGGATTTATATAGCGCCCCTTCCAGGCCGACACGGCACACGAGGGGGTGGGTGGACAAGCACCACGCCCAGACCCGTTTGTCTCTCTAGCGGCGATGTTTACACACCACACCAGGTACTTAGGGGAGGTCCAGGACCGGTTCAGATAATCGTCAGTGGTGTTGGCCGTGAGCGGGAATCGAACTCGAGTCGCCGCGTTCGTAGCGCAGCGTGCTAACCGTGACACGACCGCTCCCCAGACACAGATGTCAACAATAACCGCCGTTCGCCTAATAAGTGGCGGTGACGTCAACCACGGCGCTTGTGCCAGGCCAGGCGCACTTTAAGGCCATGTGGAAGTGTTGAACGTCAGCTGGAAGGAGGTCGCGGGACAGACCCAGGTGGGATGGGTTGACCGACTGAGATGACTGTCCCCCCTACCGTGCCAAATAAGACACACATACACACGGACACACAGAGACACGCACACAGCCAGAGCGCGTCAGGGTTAACCAAGGTCAAGGGAGTCCGAGTGTCACCCTACTCAAACGAGCGGCGGGGCAAGCGGCGCTTATTCGCCGTTGGCGATCCGAACGACGTACGACACGCTCACAAAAAAACAACACAACGCTTGGGAGCAACACGGTTGGGAGAGAATAAGTATCAAAGTCGTTAGGAAGAACTTGAAGGTTGCATTGGACAAAAAGGTTGGCTTGCAAGCCAGTTGAAGAAGACACCAGAGGGCAGAGGGCAACTGAGACAAAAGTGGAATGATGGAGCCGAGCCCAAGGACACGGAGATATCGGCAGCAGAAGGCATGTGACGACGACGATTATATCTGTAACATCTTGATTTAAAGCTTTCGTGACTGCAGGGATTCATGTTCTTGGTTCTTTCGGTAAAGTCACGTAGAAGGGAAATAATAAACTAATATTAATAATATTTCTATATTTTTTATATTACTATATTATTAATATTATTTGATTATTTCCCTTCTACGTGACTTTACCGAAAGAACCAAGAATATGATTACATCTGTAATTATCGCTGTTACGATTGTTTACCCAGAAAGGCTTCACAGAGTCTCAAGACTCTTTTTTAAGGAGGGTCCTACCAAGTTTCAAAGTAGGGGGGGCTTTGTTTGTAATCTAATTGGGGTTATTTGCAGGTAAATTTTTCAGCATTGGGATGTTAGACCAATACCAGATTCAGTTTTTTTTTGTCATCAATTATTATTATTGAGAGGAAACTGGAGAGGAAACTGGAGGAAAACTATGCGGGACACGGGGGCAGGAATCGAACCCGAGCTCGCGTTTCTTGCTTTGGAGGCACGAGTATTATACCACCGAGCCAAACCACTGCCGCTGCAATCAATACAATGATTGATAGCGAACAGAGGCAAGCTTGCCTCTGCTGCTGCTGCGGGAAAACCATAGACCCAGTGCCCTCTGTGAAGAGGTGAGATGGGAGAACAAGAGACCAATGCCGATCGTTTACCGAGCTGTGCCTTGCCGACGGTTGATACTTGTTTTCAGGAGGGCCTTCCGCCACGTTGGGAAATAATTCCACTTGCGAGCATCGCGCTTCACGGCAAGAGGCAACCGGAAAAGACGGTGCAAACCCCCCGCGAACCGCCCGCACGGGAGAATTATAATCTCACAACCTCCCGATGATAATTGGTTTTTTACCCTTCTATCTGGCAACAAAACTGACACCTTTTTACAAGGAGTCATGTTTGCATAGACCACAATACCTGCAGTCATAATGCAAACAAAAAACATAACTCTGATAATGTATGCACTGTCCTTGAAGTTGATTGGTCCACACCCGAGACAGCTTTCCTTAGAGCCTAGTCTCACATGGGTTGGACCAGATGACGCCAAAAGGCGCACAACTCAAAGACAATGCACCATCAAAGTATGAGAGCTCGGGGTAAGCATTTTACACCATTGGAACCTCATTTGCCAGTAAAAATATGATAATTGTTTTTTTACTCTTCTATCTGAAAACAAAACTGACACCTTTTTACAAGGAGTCATGTTTGCATAGACCACAATACCTGCAGTCATAATGCAAACAAAAAACATAACTCTGATAATTTGCACTGTCCTTGAAGTTGATTGGTCCACACCCGAGACAGCTTTCCTTAGAGCCTAGTCTCACATGGTGTTGGACCAGATGACGCCAAAAGGCGCACAACTCAAAGACAATGCACCATCAAAGTATGAGAGCTCGGGGTAAGCATTTTACACCATTGGAACCTCATTTGCCAGTAAAAATATGATAATTGGTTTTTTACTCTTCTATCTGGCAACAAAACTGACACCTTTTTACAAGGAGTCATGTTTGCATAGACCACAATACCTGCAGTCATAATGCAAACAAAAAACATAACTCTGATAATTTGCACTGTCCTTGAAGTTGATTGGTCCACACCCGAGACAGCTTTCCTTAGAGCCTAGTCTCACATGGTGTTGGACCAGATGACGCCAAAAGGCGCACAACTCAAAGACAATGCACCATCAAAGTATGAGAGCTCGGGGTAAGCATTTACACCATTGGAACCTCATTTGCCAGTAAAAATATGATAATTGGTTTTTTACTCTTCTATCTGGCAACAAAACTGACACCTTTTTACAAGGAGTCATGTTTGCATAGACCACAATACCTGCAGTCATAATGCAAACAAAAAACATAACTCTGATAATTTGCACTGTCCTTGAAGTTGATTGGTCCACACCCGAGACAGCTTTCCTTAGAGCCTAGTCTCACATGGTGTTGGACCAGATGACGCCAAAAGGCGCACAACTCAAAGACAATGCACCATCAAAGTATGAGAGCTCGGGGTAAGCATTTTACACCATTGGAACCTCATTTGCCAGTAAAAATATGATAATTGGTTTTTTACCCTTCTATCTGGCAACAACCTCCCGATGCTTTTAAAGCGGTCGTATAAAGTTCCTGCCACAACCGCAAGGGAGAACATTCATCAGGGGGGGGGGGGGACTGTCAACGTTCATTTCATTCATGCGTCCCAATAAATGTTGCGTTTCATTGACCACTACATTCCGAGTAATGGGCAAATAAAAAGCAATGTTCTTTTGGGTGGCAAACGGATGGGAGTGCTTTACAACTGGCACCCAAGCGTCAACATTTTTACTTTTTTACTTTAACAGGTAAGGCCCCACCGAGCTGTGTAGCTCTTTTTTCAGAAGCGACCTGCCCACAAGCTCAACGAAGCGGCTTATCGCGTGGACATTGAAAGCAGCCAAATGTTCTAAATGCATATTTCTAAATGGGGAGGGAAAAACCGGAGCATCCGAAGAAAAAGCCACATGACCACGGGGAAAGAGAGAGACACGCAAACTCCAAATGTACAGCAGGCGTCAAGGGTCGGTATCGAACCCACGACCTCCTGCATACCAGGCGAGGGAGTTAACATCTTGCCTTGCCACCGTGGCATGCCAGGTCCCATAATTTTGACTTAAAGCTTTCGTGACTGCAGGAATTCATATTCTTGGGTCTGTTTCGGTTAAGGGTCTATCTATTGTTACTTTACCGACAGACCCAAGAATATACAGTGAGGGAAAAAAGTATTTGATCCCCTGCTGATTTTGTACGTTTGCCCACTGACAAAGAAATTATCAGTCTATAATTTTAATAGTAGGTTTATTTGAACAGTGAGACGCATGTCAAAAATGTTACAAATTGATTTGCATTTTAATGAGGGAAATTAGTATTTGACCCCTCTGCAAAACATGACTTAGGAGGCCTTCATCCAGCAGTGGATTTGACCGGTGGCCGTTGACGATGCCGGAAGAGCGATGCGACAGATTGGGGCGACTTAGAATCGGTGAGATGAGAGGCGGCAGATGTAGACGCGACGGAGCTGATGAGCGTTTCATTCGCTTTGGCATTGTCAATTACACTGGTCAACACACTTTTTCTGGCATAAGGTATTCCAACGGTTTTAAGGTAATTTTGGGGTGCTGATTCCAAATTTGCCTATCACATCAGGTTTTGAGATATCAAATATTGCATTTTCAATAAAAACTGCGTAAGAAAAATATTAAATAAATGTGGATATCTACATAAAATGATATTATAAACACACTATCCTAAAAATACAGCATTTTAACACTAAATCAGTCACTGACTCGCAAAAACTTGCAATCATAAGTGACAGAGTTAATTTCGGGTAAAATAAATGAAAATGGGGTATGCCGATAGCATAAAATGAGATGTGATAGAGCAAATCTGAGATCAGATTTGGAATCAGCACCCTGAAATTAGTCTAAAACAGCTGCAAAAGTCCAGGCCAGAATTATTATTTTTTTTGCTGACCAGTGTTATGCCTTGCTATGTTCATCGAGATTTGAATTTGACCTCGCGTTCGACACGCCAATGGCTGGCGGCACCCGCAGCATGCGGAGTGAGCGTGCGCGCCAAGCGCCAAGCGTGGTTTTTCGTCAGTTCAAACTCATGACACCTTCAAACCCGTCTCGTGTGCTCCAAACCTTCGGGGCACCACAAACCCAAGATAGAGTTTATTGCTTGGGCCGGTGAGGCTTGAAGATGAGAAATATTAAGAATTCTGGATGTGCCCCCCCCTCCCTCCCGCCTCCCCGTCCCCATCTCCTTGTATCCTACCAATCCTTTCCTCCCCATAAAACCTCTCTCAATTCCGCTCACGAGTTCCCACCTTGCAGCTTGCGGTGTCTCTCTCCCCGTGGTCGCGTGGATTATTTCCTCCGGGCACTCCGGTTTTTTCCGTCCACATTTAGAAAACACGCGTCGAGACCGTTTTGATTATTTCGCTGCTATAAATGTTCGAGTGGCGAGCAACTTTGTTGAGCTATCATTTGTGGCCAAGTCGTTTCTGAAAAATAGGTTAATGCCTCAGTGGGCTTTGCCTTGTAGGACGGGGATGGTTTAGTTTAATCTGTTTAACACGTAGGCTTTCGCGACCAATATTCATAATCAACGTTTTTGGGTTTAGATCGCGTTATTTGTAAATGTGTCGTAACCCTCCAATGTTGTGGTTTCACGCTTCAACACACCGGTGGGCTAAAGCAGTGAACTATTTGTCTTTTGTCAACGTGACACTTTTTTACTGATTGGCCGTGTCGGGTGGTGGAGGGTTACGACACATTTATAAATTACGCGATCTAAACCCAAAAACGTTGATTATGAATTAGTTTAATTTGTTTGCGTTTGGGTGATTTGTTCACCTTCCTTGTACTTTATACCACGATCAGTTTTTTGTGCTGTTTGTTGTTGCAACGTTCTTATCCACCCAGACTGGACATCCTGTGAAATAGAGCTTTAGAGCTCTCGGATTCCTCCGGTATAAATAAATATCATGATTCTGAATGTGGCGGTGAGCCCAATATCAAATCTCCCCCCCCCCTTCTCTTAAACCCAGGGGGGGTCAATGAGCCCCTTGGCGTTTGTCCGTGGAGTTTCTGCACCACATCCCCACCCCCCCCCGCCTCCTCTCACTGCGTGGTCACGGTTCGTGCTGAGCTACAACAGAGAAAATAAAACAACAAGATACAGAGCTCTCCACAAGAGGTTCATTTTTCTCTCTCTCTCTCTCTCTTTGGGTTAGATCGCGTAAACAAACACGTGTCGACGCTTTTATATTTGTGCGATCGACGCCCAAAAAGAAAGCCTATAGGTGTTAAACCAAAAAATTGTTGTGAATATGAAATAAAAAGTTGTCCATGAAAGGTTATTTTTTTCTTGGGTTAGATGGCGCAAATATAAATATGTCGATGCATATTCGCACACTCCAACCCAAACCCCCCCCCCCCCCTATTATGGATAATATTGGTCGCGAAAGCCTGCTACGTGTTAAAATCAAAAAATTGTTGTGGATGTGAAATTCTCACTATTTCAAGACCTCTCCCCCTCCCCCCTCTTCCTTCCCCCGCCTCCTCCTCCAGCTCCCTTCTATCAAGTGCAGCGATATTCCCAAAGCGTGCGTCCGCGCTCTTTGTCGACGGGCGCTGTCCAACACCCACACCGTAAAGAGGGCGGACAGCTCGCAAGGCCACGGGCGAAGGACACGTTCCAAACGTACAAACGATCGTTTAATCAATTGCAGGAGAGGAACAATTCACCCCCTAATGACGCCCCCCACCACCCTCCTCCTCTTCCCGGGAAATCGTTAACGAGCCGTCACGACATTTGGGATGCCATACAAAATCTAGTGGACATCTGTGAAAAAGGGGCTTAGCAGGCTCATCGGATTCCTCCAGCGTAAGTAAAGATTATGATTCGAAAAAAATAAAAATCCCAAGCAAACGATCGATTCCTTTCGTCTCGACGGGGGCAGGGAGAGGGGGAAGAAGACGTAGACCCCCCCTCCCCCCCCCCCTTATCCACTGCTGGATGAAGACCCCCACCACCCCACCCACCCCCCTCCCGAGGAGCCGTCGGCATCTCTCACGGTCACGGCCAGAGGTCGCAACCGGGTACCCGATACCCGCACCCTACCCAATACCCGGCTACCCGTACCCAGCCGGGTACGGGTACCCATTTGCGACCCTGGTGCGGCCGGGTATGGGTACGGGTAGGCCGTGAGTCACTCAGGTACCCGATACCCGTACCCGATACCCGTACCCGGCCGGGTACGGGAGTAGGGTACGGGTACGGCCGGGTACGGGTACGGGTACCCGTTTGTGACCCTGGTGCGGCCGGGTACGGGTACGGGTAAAGAATCAAAACCCGTTTGCGACCTCTGGTCAAGGCGCCAGAGCTCCCGCGCGACAAAGACGCCGATATCGCCGCCCCTATCACCACGGAGGACGACTTCCCTGCTGTTTGGATGCCGCTGGCGTCGTTAGTCTCGGCCGCTGCCCGCAGTCGTCCCTTCTGGCCACGACGCGTCCCGCTCACGGGATCAACTTCATTTTTTTTTTATCAGCGGTCAGAGCGACCTCTTCCTTTCATTAATTTATGGCGATCGCCCCCCCCTGCCCCGGCAACGACGGATGCTCGTAGTCGTAATCCACTTCGTTGAGCTATCGCTCGCGATAGCCAGGACGCTTCTGAACAAGAAACTAATCTCGCTCGGTGGGCTTTATCCGGTAAAATTCTAATAGTTTAGTTTTTTTGTGATTTGCTTAAGTTTCGTCTAATTTGCACTCCTGATGTGTTTTTGCATCTTTTGTTCTTGTAACTCTCTGAGCCTCCCCTACTGGACATCTGTGAAACAGTGCTTTGTAGCTCATCGGATTCCTCCTGCAGAATAAAACACATTCCTGCGGAGAGAGCTGGTAGGAATGTTGAGTTGCTCGGCCAATGGCCAGGGTAAACGGCGGTGTGGTGTATTCCGCAAATATGCCCGACTCTGAGGGCGGGCACAAGCCGGCGTGAGTAGGTGAAACGTTGAGTTTTATAAGGGCACCACGGGGTGACCAGCCCCTCCCCACCCAGCCCCACCCCTCACCCAGCTCCTCCCCACCCAGCCCCTCCCCACCCTCCCCTCCCCACCCAGCCCCACCCTCCAGTGGGTTCCTACCAGTATAAATATTCTGAACTTGCATTGTAAATGTTGTGAATTTGCTCTCCAACACACAACTGGTGGTGCTCAAGTATGAACACTTTTAAATCTAAATTTAAAACTCATTTCTTTAGAACTGCTTTTGGTGTTTAGCTAGGTGTCCTCCCCCCCCTGCCCCGCATCTCCGATTAGTACGCTTGGCTACATTACGGTGCGAAAGTAGTTCGCCATGAATACGTACGTACGTTAGGATCAGAAGCACGGACATTGACAAAGGCACGGAGGAGCGGCAGCACACGCCTTGGAAGAAAATCGATCGCGTTTCCAATATCGCACGCGTCCGGCGTTTCATCTCTTCGCAGACGGTCAGAGGGGCGCGGACAGACGGACGACTTAACATCGCAGCCAAAGTAGCGCGCCGTACCTTCTTGTTGTATCACGGGTTCGTACGACAGAATATTTTCTTCGGGGCTCCCTGTGGGAAGGAGGGTGGGGGGGGGGAAGAAAAACACGAAGATGTAAGCAAAAAACACAACGGGCGTACGACGCCACGCGCACACACACGCGCAATGTTTACACACAGCGAAGGGCAAACGCGCCACGAATGCTGAGCTCAAGCGGATACGCTCAACTGCAATCGCCGTGACATTGCCCGGATTTATTTTTTTTTGGTACGTTTCTCCCCCGCTGTGGCCAACGGACTAAGTAATCGCGAACACATTACCTGTCAACACCTTACCTTATCACAGACCAATTCAGACCTTATTGGTCACCCCGTGTCCTCTGACAAAGTCCCATCACAAGGAGAGACACACAAACAAATAGACACATTTTCTTTGCCCGTATTGAAACGGTTGTACGCCGTATGGACCTGAAAACTCAATTTCCCTCTACAACAATACAGGTAAACCATATGGGTTGACAGGTATCCGACTATACTACAATACACTACACGATAAAATTGGCCCATATTGAAACGGCTGTACACCGTATGGACCTGAAATCTCAGTTTCCCTGTACAAGAATACGGGGTGTAAACCGTGTGGGTTTACAGCTTTGCGAACAATTGTTTGCACCAACAACGGCGGACCAAGCGCGGCTTTTCAGCCAAATCATTGGCTACGCTTTTTTGATCGGTTGCAAAGGGGGCAAACGTGCGCGCGCGTACAAAGCCACGCGCCACCGACTTACTAGCGTCTTTTCTCTCACGCTTAAAAGGGCCAAACGTCCACACCTCGCGGTGTTTTTTTTTTTGCTGCACGGCTCGTGATTTCACGGCGTGATCGTTCGCGCCCCCCACGACCCGCCGCCTCTCTTCTTAGCGTCCACACAAATTGATGTAATTATTCCCGAGAGAAAAAATAAATAAACACAATAGCAAATTGGCCCGGGCGGTGGGAGGGGGGGGAGCTCGCGAGCGTGGACACATGAGATGATTACTGGACATCTGTGAAAAAGAGATTCACAGCTCATTGGATTTCTCCAGGATAAATAAGGATTCTGATCTCCGATGGAAGGCAGTGGCAGTGCACTAGAGGTCGCAACCGGGTACCCGATACCCGTACCCTACCCGATACCCAGCTACCCGTACCCGGGTACCGTAAGTCACTGGAGAGTCACCGTTTGTCACTCATTTCCCAACGTCTTGTCTCTTCTCACAATTCAAGTTCCTAGAATCAACCCACCCGCGCCTGCAACATGGCTTCATTCCAGAGGTCGCAATCAGGTACCCGAAACCCGTCCCCGGCCGGGTACGGGGGTAGGGTACGGGTACGGCCGGGTACGGGTACCCGTTTGCGAACCTGGTGCGGCCGGGTACGGGTAAGGAATCAAAACCCGTTTGCGACCTCTGCAGTGCCCCCCCCCCTAACTAGACAGTACTAAACTAAACTATTTTTATTCTGCCAGGCAAGGACAACTCGGCTCGTACCAGCAGGTGGACAGAGGCAGTGGGGGTCAGGCAGGGACTCGAGAAACTTCCACCTTCATTTAAAACGGCCTCGCCGGGAGATCAGAGCGGTGTGCTTGTGCTCACCGTAACACCACAGCGGTTACTACCCCCCCACCCCTACTCCCACCCCACTCCAACAGGAGAAGCAAGCGCCACCAGGGATAGGTCAAGCAACCTACTTGTCTCCCACTGCCACCGCTTAACCCAAGAGAGAAAACAAACCAACTTGGAATCGCACCGAGTCACTGAGCCTCGCTTCTCTCGGTCTCTCTGTCTCTCTCTTTGCGAGCGATCCAAAGCCTCCGCGATTTCTCACAAATTTACTCGTGCGCGCCCCATCGCCGCTGGCTGACGGCACGGTCCTCAGCAGGTGATTTGAAAGGCTTGGTTGGGGTGGTGTGGAGGGGCGGTTACAAAGGAAACCTTCTCACCGCCCCCCCACCACCCCTCCAAGGGCACTACAACGGAGTCAGCGATGATCACCCGGAGGACGGGGGGGATGAGAATTCAGGAGGCCTCGTTTATTTCTTTATTTATCTTTTTTTTTCCCCCTCCGGACGAGGGCATCGCAGGCCAGAAGCAATCGAAAAGTAACGTAATAGCGGCAGATAAATAAATATAGCCCGCCCGTCGTCTATGGAAGGTAACGATTTACCTCGCAAAAAAATAAAACAATTATAGGGAGAGGAAAAAAAACCCTAAATAGAAATCGATGAAAAAAATATAATAAAATGAAATGATCTCCGAAGGACAGCGGGGAAAATGACGAGACAGGGATGAGATTGGATGGACTGCTGCAGCCAAATGTTGGCCCATTAAATAAATCTCTGGCGTGTGTTTTTTTGTTTTTGGGGGGGGGTTGCTCACTCATAATATTGCCTGAGATTGGGTCTAAGTGCCCCGGCAGAAAATCTCAACAATTTTAGCACCGAAATACGCTTGCTCTGCCGTTCCAGATTGCCCATCAAGGTTAATAAGCGCCCGATTAAATCAACATTCCATTATTTCAGCGCGCGGTATACGATTTTGTAAAAATGCTTGATTTTTTTTTAAAATCGAGAAACATTTTCCCATTCAAACAATTACTTTTGTTTTTATATCGGAATAGACCCAGAAATTATTTACGTTGTTGTAAAATTAGTCAATCAGTTACGTAAAATATCTTTTAAGAGTTATATCTTCCCTTAGTTTGTAATGTAAATTAGTGTGAGGTAACAGGACATTTCCCTCACAGGGATTTTATGCAACGGATTACATGTCCTCCCTGTTGTAAAATCTTAATAGGCTAAAGGCAAAGATCCCCCATATCAACCTTATGGCGGTACCCAGTCTGACATCCGTGATGCAGTCATTCTTAGTCTGTTGATGGTCGGCGATGCGTCAATCGACTCATCTCGACGAGCTGTACACGATGCGCTATTCAAAGTTGAATTTTTCGATAGCAGGATTTTTTATGCTAATGTTTGGCGTTTCGACATCGCGGAGTGTGGCACTGATTTCGGATTGATTGATACCCCAGTCGCGGAGTTAAGTACACCCCTGGAAAAAAATTGTTTCCCAGAAATAACATATTTAATTGCCTCGGCCAATTTGTATTATTTGGTACCACGGGGTACCGCTTTAAAGATCATTTAGCCTTAACAGATTGTTGGGACAAGTGCTGTTAGCGAGCACCTATGAAGGCCGGCACGGCTCACGAGGGAGTGGTTTGGCCAGCACCACGCCCGACCGCCTTTGTCTCCACAGTGGCGATGTTTTACACACTGCACCAGGTACTCATTTGAAGCCGAGTCAACCTAGGGAAAGCCCAGGACCTGTTGAAATATACGCCACTGTGGTTGGTCGTGAGAGGGAATCGAACACGGGTCGCCGGGCTTTGCACCTCCGCTCCCCACATTCTTAACGGTTGCCGACAGACACCAGAATCCCCCAAGGATTAAACGGGAAACCCAAATAAACCCACACGATGCTTCGAGTGCTGCTCGTGTTTACCCTTTCCAGCGGCCGAAATGCGCGAGAAGCGATTCTTCAGCGAGCATGAAAATAATGGGTTTTTTTTTTCCCTGATGAGGCCAGTTTAGTTGTTTTGCTGCAAGGCCCCACACCCAAGTGCATCGTTATAAAACGAGAGCTTTATTCAGCAAGTGTACGACGCTAAATCTAAAGCCGTCGTGAAAAATAGTCCCCCCACCCCCATGTTCTACATTTGTTCATCATCGTCATCATCGTCGTCGTCATCGTCATCATCGTCGTCATCGTCATCATCGTCGTCGTCATCATCATCATTGTCGTCATCATCATCGTCGTCGTCATCGTCGTTGTCATCGTCGTCGTCATCATCGTCGTCATCATTGTCGTCGTCGTCATCGTCATCATCGTCGTCATCGTCGTTGTCGTCGTCATCGTCGTCATCGTCGTCGTCATTGTCGTCATCATCATCGTCGTCATCATCGTCGTCATCATCGTCGTCATCATCATCGTCGTCATCATCATCATCGTCGTCATCATCGTCGTCGTCATCGTCGTCGTCATCGTCATCATCATCAGCAGCAGCCTTGGTCAATCTACTGCTGGATGAAGGCCTCTATCTGTTTCCTCCTCGTAAGCCGCCACCATATCCCACGATTCCGCGATGGATTAATCCACCCGGCACCGGCATTTATTGCGAACACAATGTTTTCGAAGAAGTCTGCGTTGGAAAGCAAATATGACGATGCAGGAAAGAAAAAACGATAACCGCTGTAAGACAATCGTGGATATGAAAACACGAACGGGTGTCACATGTAATGATCCTTTAACTCTTAAAGTTGTATTTATTTATTCTAGCCCAGGCATTAAAATTGTCTTTTTTTAATATGGCTGTGCCCTTGAAGAGCAATTTAATAAAATACTTTTAAAACAACAGGGAGGGGGGGGCGGGTTAATTTTAAGAGGGGCTAAAATAATGACCGGGCAAGTCTCTCAACATTTATTGATATGTTGTAACAAAAACAATGAACAACAAACAATGCACTTTTGTCACGCTCACAAACAACAAATGCACAAACATCCATCGATTTTGTCAAAACAGTTGAAAAGAGTTTTGCAATGGACAACGGCTGCGTTATAATTTGGTGAAATTTTTCTTTTTGCCACTTAATAAAAATACAAATCATTGGTCACGCTTCATTGTATTTTTTCTAGTTTACTACATTTAATTAATTCCTGATTTTACAACAAAAAATGCCAACTGGAAGCCTGTTTGCCAACACGCTCCCTGGACAGAAGCTACTCTGTGGGATATGGAACTGCCTCCCCGATTAAACACATTGCAGGCCAAAATCACCGATTCTGGTCCTCAGGCCTTCAAATGCCGAGCACACACAATGGAACAACCCCGAACCTTTCCACACGCCTCGAAGGGACAAAGTCTCTGAGCTGTAGTGAACCCAATGATTATGCCGATTCGATATACTGATGTCTGATATTGCTGGTGTTCACGATTGCACCCAATTACTGGCGAAACGTCGTACTCAGATTGTAAATGTTGTGGCTTGGCTCTCCAACGCACAGGCGTGCTGTACTAGTATAATACAATATATACTACACTATACACTAGTGCTGTACTAGTGACGAATTGGCCACGTTCTGTTTACGTGACAACGCTTACTAGTTGGCTGTGTCGGGTGGTGGCGGGTTTTAACGACATAGACACATTTACGTGATCTAACCCCCCCCCAAAAAAACCTCCATTATGAATAATAACAACAACAAACATCACAATCGGAGAAATCAAGATGAGAAATCAAACTTACTCAAATGGTTTTCATTACCGCTGGGAGGAACAGGTGGAACCAGCTCTGTGAAATGAAAGCGCAGGAGAAGGATGTGTACACAACGGTGACCAACAAATGGAGGACGCAAACGTGATGGCCCGAAAAACACATCGCAAAAACATAATAAACGATGACAATTACCGAGATGGAAAATTGCTTCATCCCCGTCTCCGAGCGTTGAGGACGTGAAAGCAAAGGACCCATTTCATTACATTTCCGTCCCCCTTTCACCGCCTCCCTTCCCCCCTACGATCAATTAGGAATTACACAAAACTACTCATCGATTGCGTTGTAGTTTCTTTCGCGTTTTTAAACATTTCCACAGCAAGGGCTGCTTTCATCCCGCTCTGCGCTTAACATCGCTAAATCCTTCCAACGGTGGCAGGCAACGTTCTTCACCGCACCCAACGGCGGCAGCGCTGCGTTATCACCTTCTGCCGCGTAGGGGCAGCTGTCCGACTGAGGGTCCCCCACCCTTGGTTCGAATGCAGCCAAGTATTGTCTGTCTTTCCGACAGACTTGTTCTTCACCTGAGGACGGCTGCTTGCGTTGTGGCCGAAACGTTGTGAGAATTATTTTAGTATGTTTTATTTTTATTATTTCCCTGCGATGTGACTTTACCGAAAGAACCAAGAAGATGAATCCCTGCAGCCAGGAAAGCTTTAAATCGAAATATTGAAATAGATTTAGGTCATTATTATCATTATTGTTATGTTTACATTTAAAGCTTTCGTGACTGCAGGGATTCATATTCTGAGGATTATTTTACTGGAGAAAAACCTCTGCCGAGTCTCAAGACTCTTTTTTTCAGACGGTTCCTGCCAAGTTTTTCGCAGTAGGGGGCGATGATCGCTGCTGTGGGTGCACACGTGATCCCGATTGAGTAGCTTGCCGTGTCGTTTTTCAAAGCCGGGTAAAATATGAACCGTGACGCATTGGCAACGCCACAGCCCACTCTCTCAAGTGACCCTCAACGTCCGACGCCGTAGTCCAGCATCGTCACGGCTAACACGCACCGCGGGAATAACCGGGGAGGCCGCTAGTTTCGAACCGTGAGCCGTGAAATCGTGCTACGGCCAAGGGCCACGCCCAGCGCCCTACGAAAGGTGGCGTAGAGGCATTGAAGCGCTCCACGCAGGATGCAAACTCGTAGAAATAACTTCCATATTATGCAAGACCGGGGATTGAATCAGGATGGTGCGGCTGACTCGGTGGGTCACAAGGCAAAGCTGACCATAAAAACCGCCAATGCCGCCGCCGCCGCCGCCACCGCAGCGACACCACCATCTGGCGGCAAAAAGCCAGCGGAAAAAGTTGGCATTTATAAAATATCTGTTTGGTGATGGTTGTTTCCTCCAGAATAATATGAAAATTACAACGACCCAAAAAAAAATGTGCGCCACGTGCCGATTTTTTTCGACAATGCGACCCAAATGCTGCCCTCCCCCCTCGGTCAGAACAACCCCCGTTTACAGACGGAAAACATTTATCCCCGCGCACAAATTGTTCCGTCAACAAGCGTCAGGCGGTAATGGACGGAGGGGGAGGAGCGGGGAGAGCGAAGTGACGGCAGAAAAATTTAATGGGACGCTTTGAAAGCGTAATAATAAACTGTGAAGAGGGCCTCGCACACCTCTGAGAAAAGTGGATCGCAAATTGTCGCCGTAGTAATGAAGGTAGAGGTGAAGCGGCGGCCCCTGCACAATTGCCTCGTACTTTGGCCTACTCTTCCGCACTGGCCACGCGTCTCGGAGGGATGCGGGAGTAACCCCCACACACTTCACCCCCACCCCCGCATGCGGACCTGCCTATCGTAAACACCTTTAACGTGGCGTATCCATTTTAGCCGGGCCGAGCGGGCCGAAAGGTGCGGGAGGGCATTCAAGAAACTTGACTCCTCGTTTCAACTGCCGCGCGCCGGGGAGATCAAAGCGGCGCTCTGCTTTCGGAATCGCGAGAAGAACCGCTGTCATCGGAGCGGGAATAGGGGGTTCGACTCCTCGCAAACAGGGCCCACACGGGCAAGCAGGCTGCGCTCCGCCAACTGCGTACGTTCGGTGGCAGTCGCTGCGACGCGGCGCAACGGTCGGCGGAAATTTCAACCAATCGCTGCGGAGGGTTCACGGTTCGAATCCAGCGGGCTGCCCTGGTGAAGTCACTGCGGCGTGTGTTAACCGTAGCAGTAGCAATGATACTGCCACTGCACCTACGAGCTGTCTGCTCCACAGCTGACGTTAAATTCCCCGCGCTCCCACCGCCCGATGCTATTCCCCGGGAGTGGTGGGCCCACTGCGTGCCGTGGGCGTCAGAGTCCAAATTTGAAAATGACCCGCAACTTACTCAACTGGGATGACGCATTGGAGATCATGGCATCCTGCCCCCCCCCCGTCCCACTACTGGCAGACTAATGCCCAAGAGGTCACGCTGGTAAAAATGAGACTCAGTGCAGCTCCAAGGCAGTGGAACGCGTTGGCCTCCGACAATAAGACACATGAGGATCTTTAGAGCTATTTAAATCTCGCCCCGAAAACTCACCCCTTTAAAAATGGCCATTTCCCCCTGAAGTTTTTGGTCATTTCCCTGCTTTCCATACAACGGGCGCGTTGGGACGCTTGGATGTAATGCGCCTTTACAAATGGAAATAATGATTATTATTACCCCGATGTCTACTGGACATCTGTGGAAAAAGAGCTTTGTAGCTCATCGGATTCCTCCAATTTTGAATAAACTGCTTCGAATTCTGATCCTCGTGTCTCGGGGGGGTCCTCACCTGGTTTTGGTTACACGCACAACGAACTTGCAACCGCGGCTCGAAGCCAGACGTCTAGCTCGCAAAACGGTTCGGCGTTAACACTGAACGCGCGCGTACATTTTTTTTTTTTTGCCGGTCGTTGCAAACGGATGTGGGGGGGCAGAAGCGATTTTAAAACATATTTTTTTTTGCTGCTGCTGCTGTCCCCCGGCGTTTTAATATCCTCCGCCTCTCCCTTTGCCTCGTCTTCAAACACTTACTCAGCGTTTTCATTCCATAATCTTCATCGCTGAAGCCCGTCAGCTCCTATACAAGGGGCGGCGGTCCAGATAGCGGGCACCAATGTCGCAACGGAAATTGAAACGATAACAACGACGACAAGCCACAGAAATAAAATGACGCACAGCAAACAAAAAAAGCACAAAAAATTGCAAAGGAGGTAACAAAAAAAAGGGAAAGAAAAATAAAACCAAAAAGAGAAATAAGAAACAAAACACCACATGGGAGGAAAGGTCAGTCGATTCACGCCATCGGAGACTGCCCAACGTCGGCCGGAAGTTTACGGTCAAGGCTCCATTGGGGTTTTTTTTTTTTAAATACATTTATTTTAAAATCTACATCAATCGGAAGGCAAAAGAAAAAAGGCGACGACGCAACGGTGAAGATTCGATACGCGGACGACGACGCGTTTTGCCGCTCGTTTCGTCGTCGCGTTAATAATTGTTGTTGTTGCTGTTGTTGTTTTGCGGGCCTGGGACTACTTCTCCGTAAGTTGGATGCACCCCCGCCTCCCCCACCCCCACCACCTTCCTTACCACCTCTTGCCCCCCCCCCCCCCCGAGGTTGTCCCCCGTCCGGTTTTTCTGTCACCTAAAGCGTCGTTGTTATGGGCCTACGTTGTTGTCGTTTCATAACATCCAAAATATTTTTTTAATAATACAACAATTATTATTGTTGTTTTTATTCTACTTTTTCGCGTTTCCGACCGGTTCTCCCTTCGCTCTGCCGCACAGAGGCTCGCGCCGAGACTCGCCGGGCCGTATGACCTCGCGCGCCCCTCTGCGACCGTCATCCTAACCAAGATCTGCGCCGTGCATCACATCTGTTCACCGTCGCTGGACGCACGTGGAATATCGAGCCCAACGGCCGATTGGGTCGGTCGCTCGCTGCTCCAAAAAAATCGACCTTTCTTGCTTTCAGTCTACGTATCTAAACCTAAATCTAATTGGCGAAACAAAATTACTAAATATGTAAACTATCCACGAGCGGAGCAACGGGGGGCTGGGAGCGCAGTTTGACCCAGTGCCTCGTGGCAATATCTTAAAGCCAGCATATTTTCTTCTTTTGCCGCGTTAATGACGTTCCCAAACTAAGCCAGACAAGAGTTGGTATCTTCTCCGGCGGTCGCCACATACCCATTGGAACGAAGCAAGATTCAACGGGTGGTGCCGACAAGAGCGTACTTTGCGCTCCTGGCAGAGTTTGCTTCCGACACGGAAGCACTCTTCCCGGTCAAGCTCTCCCGGGACGTGTTTCCTGGTTGTACCCGCGCGTGTTTTTTTCGGCACGATTGCTCACATTTTCGCTTCCAGGCGTTGGCAGCAAGCCGTCGTGACGTCACGTCGAGCAGCACGCCGACAGACCGACGGACTGACATGCACGCACGCACAGCTAATGCACTAACGCTCCTGACGTTCGCTCGAAAGCTGAACAAAAAAAAAACTTAACCCAGTTATACCTATGGGACTCTTTTGCCAGAGATATAACTGCTTAACCAGAGCTATTCATGCTTTGTGTGCGTGCATTGTCCTTGCACTGTTTGCCTTTTGGTGGCACTTGGTCAAGCACGAGTGAGACTAGGCCATAAAGGAGGCGGTCTCTGGTGTGGGCCAATCAGTTTCAAGGGCAATGCATACATTATAAAGACTGTGTGGTTAATGCACAATAGATGCCTTGTAATAATAATAGTAATAGGTGTCTATTTGGTGTTTGAACATTTAACACCTCCTGTATTTATTTATGCCAAAGTTTTTTTTAATCATTCGCTATCTTGAAGATGCTTCAGGCGTGTGGAGTGAAACATCGGACGTCCTGCCCAACGACCCGCGGTAAACGACGACCCCCAAAACGCGTCGGGGGTCGTGTCGAGCTCGTCAATTGTTCCGCAATTTTTTACAACGAAATTCCTGACACAGGAATTCGTGGGTTCGATCCCGGACCCCGAACATGCCCGTTTGTATATTTATATATTTGGAGTCCGCGTGCTCTCTCTCTCTCTCTCTCCCCGTAGTGGCCGCGTGGATTTTTCTCCGGGTTCCTCCGGTTTTGACCTCCTCCACACATTCATAAACGTGCTTTTAGATCATTTGGTCGCTGCTCTAAATTATGAATTCCCACGCGTGACGACGGTATCAGCCTCTAGCGATGAGTCATCACGTGTGTGGCCAGGTCGCCTCTGAAACAGAAGTTATAGATCGGTGGGCCTCTACCTGGTAAGTATACATACGGTAACTTCTTTCGCACCATGTGTAACCAACTCAGTTTGGCAAACGTTTCGCCGCTCGCGAATTACTGTGAATTCCGAGGCCGCCAAACCTTCGCCAAACTCGGTCACGGCGGAGAACACTGTCGACCCGGTTTAGGGTGGTTGTGTTTGCGTGTGTTTTGACGTTTGCATGTTAAGTGGATAACGGCGACTGCTGCGGGTATATACACAGCGGGAGAGGGATCATTTGGCACTGCTCGACACCACTGCGATCCCAACTGTCTATTATTATTATCGCTGCCGTTCCGTTTGTTTGCCCATGAAAGGTCTCGCCGAGTCTCAAGACTCTCTTAGGAAGGTCTTGTCAGAAGGGGGGGATAGTCGCTACGCGAAATTCCAACCCGTGACTTGGATCGCATGACCCGATTTGACTTCTCTGATCCACGTGGGCCATCGGCGGACGAATGTTGGCCCGAAAAAGACGAATTTGCTCCACATCTCTTCTGGGCCGCTTCCCATTTTGTCACTCCGCTGCTGGATGTGGGGGGAGGGGGGGCTCATCCCCCCACACCACGTGGGCCGTGAGGGATCGTGGTTGGGGCGTGCGTTGCTACACCCCCCCCCCCCCACCTCTTTGTACCGTGATGACCATATACGGTGATAAACCACCGTCCTCAAAAAAAGCCTCCGTGTCTCGGTCGCAAAGCGAGCGGGTTTTTTTCCCCCCGCTCCGCTGGCGAAGGGGACTTCGTAATATGCACAAGCGATCGCTACGCCAGCGATCCTTGCACCAACCCCCTTCTCTCTCTCAATCTCTCGTTGTGTCTCGCGCATCGCGGGACCGGCTCATCCCATTCATAACGATTTCCGAGTGACGAACCAAAAGAGAGCCGGTCGGAGTGAACATATTAAGAGGCCACCCGTGAAATCCAAGGGGGGTTTTTTTGTCGTTGTCCATTTTTGTACAGGGGCTCACAGCCATAGCCGCCAATATTGCAGCAACTCTTGAACAAGGATAAAAAAAATTAACCCGTAAAAACTAAGTTTTTCATTATAAATCCTTTATATGTGTGGCGGCTAGAGTCCTCTCGTCCTCTGGCTTGAGATGGCTGCCACCTATGGGTCAGATGATTGCCTGCCACCATTAAGCAATTGGTAATTAAATATATAAAAAACAATTTTAAGCGTAAAATTTTGGAAATAAATTTTCACGAAAATAAATTGTCACGCACAACGAGTCTGTGTGCAAAATGTCAGCTCGATTGGATCACGGGAAGTGGGTTGAAAAACGACCGAAAGATTTGCACGGTCGTAAGCGCGCAAGCAAGTGAACTTAATATAAAGGATAAAAAAAAAAACGGCTATGGCTTTTTGTTCAAGAGCTTTCAAAGGTTGAAGGGCCAAGCTATTTCGGCACGTTTGTTTCCCGCTTAGCGCTGTACGGCGCGAACATTGATGGCTCCAATTGTGTCAGCTCTAGTCCGTCTGCCCCTCTCGAAAACAACGGGAAGAGGTGAGGGTCGCGTTAACTAAACAATAATATTCATAACTCTCGTAAAGATGGTCCTGCACGAACGATATTTTTGATTTAAAAGCTTTCGTGACTGCGGGGATTCATATTCTTGGTTCTTTCGGTAAAGTCACATCGAAGGGAAATAATAAAATAAAAAAACAATATAAAACAATGTTTTATATTTAATATTATTTTATTATTACCCTTCTACGTGACTTTACCGAAAGAACCAAGAACACGAACGATACTTTGTTTGTATAAAAAAACCCAGCGCTGCATAAAAGGATTTGCTCTTGGCGTCCACCTCCCCTAGGCCCTACCAAACGTGGCACCCCCTCTCGAACCCCCCCCCTCCTGCCCCCCGCGGTCAGAGCCACTATCGGAGCCCCGTGGTCTCGTCGCCGGCCCTCACGGACGTTGCTGCTCCCTGCGCCAACTGGACACCCACCGTTACCGCCGTCGCCGGCGAAACGCTACCCGGGGGGCGGGCGGGGGTGGACCAAAAAGCCGCCTTTTGTAAAGCGTTACAGGATCCGTGCGTGCGCCTTTTTTATTTTTCCTTCCTTGTCGAGAGAAGCCTCTTGACCGCAAAGAACCGACCGGACGGTGGGCAGCACGGACACGCCGCCCTCCGTTGCGCCAACGCGCCCGCCCGCCCGCCGGACTCGGGCGTTACTTACGTTCCGTCTCTACAGTTTCCTGATCGCTTGGCGCCTTCGTCTTGTGGAAGGGGAATTTTCGCGAAAAGATGAAGCTCTTTTTACGTTTGTCATTGAACGAGTGCTGGACAGGGAGGGGGACAAGGGAGGAGGAGGGGGAGGGAGGGGAGGGAGGGAGGAGGGGATATCGGGCAAAGCGGGGAGATGGGTCGGGGGTTGGGGGAGAGGGGAAAGGGGGGAGGGGAGGGAGGATGAAACAGGGATATCTTAACATGCTCCACAAACAAGCCCTGTGTAAGCTGCGAGCAGGACAACTGCCTGCTTTATTTAATAGGGGGGAAATCGTATTCATGATAATAATAATAACTGCTTTAATACAGCGTGCAATTGTGTAGCCCTGCAATTGCTTGCTCAAGCCTCTACCGGGCAGGAAGGCCTCCGCTGGACGTTGCTCTATCCCAGTGTTCGTCACTCATTTTCAGAGGAGGGGGGGGGGCGCCAATTTCGCCGGTAACACATCATCGGTGTGTGCGAGGGCTCACCACACCATTTGAAACACCATTGCGGGTTTGTGACCACCACGATGATGATGAATGGCGGGGGGGGGGGGGGGAGCCTCGCTAAAGGCCACCGGGGGCCCGCCAGTGGCCCCCGTGGGCCTTGCTAATGAATGAAGGCTGCTCCCACAGGGACGCTCACTCCATGCAGAGGAGCTCACTCAATTACTGGAATTTTTGCTGGTTTTTTTTCCCTGTATTTTCAGTTTGCACAGTCACTTTAAGATGTTTTCTTGTTCATGTTTTTTGTTTGTTGCAGGTTGCACCCGATTCAAGGACCCTACCTAATAAATAAACTTGAACTTGATGCGATTTGGCCTACTCTTAGGGGAACAAAAAAAGGAAGCAGTGCCCGCGCTTTAACCCGCCGCACACGACCTGCCGATCGGCTCGCCGTGGTGTGACCCCGCTGCTGGGCATCTGAGATGAGAATATTTAATTCCTCCGGTCTAAATAAATATTCCGATTCTGAAGCCGATGCCGGGTGGGCAGAGGCGTTGGTGGTGGTGGCGGGGGGGATTTAAGAAACTCTCCACCCTTTGTTTCAACTGCCGCGCCGGGAGATGGAACCCGGTTAATCTCCGCATTGCAAGCCCAGGTGTATGCCGGCTACCTACGGCACAGGTGTTAATGCGAGCGAGAGGTCTTCCATCAAATTCCATTCAACCGTGCGTTTCGTTTTGGCCACTGGCAAGAAATCGTGGAGCGGCCAAAGGAGACGGCCAACGCGTAACGAGCGGGAACAACAACCAAAAGCCTCCGCAACACGTGGATTCGAGTATCCGTTGTTATTTTTTGGCGTGAAAGGAAATTGGAGCGACTGGAGAAAACCCACGTGCAGGAGGGGACATTCATCATGAGCGTGTTCTCTCTTTTCGGGAGTGACTGAAGAAGTAAAAATAATAATAACCCACCCCCCCCTACCACCTCGCCCCTCTAGTACCCGAATAGTGCTGGTAATATGCTTGCAGTGGAGGATTAATATCGATGTTGATGGGTTGTTTCCGAGCAATAGGCCTCACGCGGCTGCAGATGCCTTCATTTCGCAGGTACGACTACCTTCGTTTCATTTATACCGTTAAGTATTGCGATGACCTCTTTGGCGGGGGCGAATTCTTCCTCAAAAAATACATTGAATGAATGAAAGGCCCTACAAATTGGAAGTCACGGGCCGGATATTCCCACCCCTGTTCTAAACTAAGGTCTGCGCTTGTGTGACTGATTGATTATAATCATTACGTAACAGCTGCTTAAGGGAAAGGACAAGAGATGGTCTTACAGGCATTATCAATCGTTTTTAAAGAGGGGGTAAAAGTGGTGGATTTGCGTAGAACTTCACGTTGCGAAATTTCCTGAGCGGCCAATGGGAGAGCGGGCGAGGGCGGCCAGGGGACAGCGGTGCAGCAAGCGGGGTCACGACCCCTCTGTGCAGCGCTTCAAGAGCAAGCGGTGGGTTTTCTCCGGGCTCTCTCTCTCTCAACCACATTTTCGAAATACGATTTGTAACTTTGATCCTTGACCCGCGTGCGAAAAACAGTTACATTTTTACGTGCCATTTTACTGAGGGACGACTGTGTGTGTTGGACTTGGTGTGGTCTGGGACTGTTGTTGTTGTTGTTTTTTACTGCCTTGCCCCCAAGCTCGCATCTGGTGTTGACAAATTGTACTCGTGTACTTTATTTGCGTTCATTTGTTTTTTTATTTAATTACTTTGCTTAAATGTATCCGTCTCCATTTCGCACTCCGCGTCCCCAACGGCCACGTGTGAAAACGAGCTTTGTAGCTCATCGGATTCCTCCAGCGTAAATATATATTCAGATTCTGGAACTCGATTGGACACAACAATGGCAAATGTAGCAATAGGCCCTCACCCCGCTCCCCCCCCCCACTGAAACAGGAGATTTCGAGACTCACTGAGATTTTCTCCAAGGCAAAACGTGCACGTTTTTTGGGGGTTTTTCTTACTTATTTTAAACGCGTGTTGTTGTTGTTTTTTAAATTATAATTCTACGGTTGGCACTTACACAGGGGCTGTTTGCTTCAATGGACATTCGCTCGTTGAGCACATGCGGTCGGGGCGATTCAAAAAGCGAGCACACGTAACGATCAAAGAAAACCAACGGTAACAGAAAGAAAAAAAAATCGAAAAATATGAAAAAAAATGCGGAGCAATTATGGAATTCAAAGATGTCGTTATCTGTAAACAAATAAAATAAACGGGTAGATAAAACACAACGTTTTATATTCAGTGTTCCAGAATGTACCATATGCCATAACGCTAGATAGAGACTCCGATACAGCACACCGCATATCAATATTATCTTGTCGCAAAGTCTAAATACGGTCGAATGAGTGTGGGGAAGGTTAACCTCCATTAGATGCAATTAAAACTCGGTGCCGGAAATTCAGTTATTGTTAACTTCGCACAAAGTGGAAGCTATTTTATCCACTTTAAAGAGGATGATGGGCCGAGGCATACCCCAAGCGGGAATCGAACTCACGATCAAATTTACTGTGTGGTGGGTGCTTGAACCTCAACACGACCCGGCCAAATGAACACCCCAATAGGCTTGAGTGTGTATAAATATATAACCTTCATCAATCCACTGCTGGATGAAGGTCTTGCCTCACCGTGTCAGAAAAGAGAAAGGGGGGTTATCAGAGCATACTTCACCACGCTGGTCAGGACGTGTCGGGTGAAGATGTTGGGGGCACGCAGGACCAGTAGCTCAGATTGCACTCGCCACTGATGTGAGCCGTGGCTAGACAGTGAACTGCGATGGCCGAATAAACAGCAGTGCGCGCGCTGACCACTAACGCTACCATGACACCTTTTAATTATTATTCCGATTTATGTCCAGCACAATCCGGTTGTCTAATTCGACAATAATTATTACGACGTATAATGCCATCGAGTTGACCAGTTACTGTATATGCGAGTTACTTGACGGAATTAAAATCTCCCGGCTGGGCAGAAGGAACGCCACGATCCCCTGAGCGAGCGGCAATCAGAAATTTTGAATGTGCCGATTTATGTCCAGCACAATCCGGTTGTCCAATTCGACGATAATTATTACGACGTATAATGCCATCGAGTTGACCAGTTACTGTATATGCGAGTTACTTGACGGAATTAAAATCTCCCGGCTGGGCAGAAGGAACGCCACGATCCCCTGAGCGAGCGGCAATCAGAAATTTTGAATGTGCCGATGCGTTTAAAAGAAAAACTCAGGTCTCACCACCGTCGCGGCATTTCCCGACCCCCCGCCATTGTCAAGCGGTGTGACGCCAAAAGGATATAAACCTAAACTCTCGCGCCGACGGCCCCCGTCGCACGCCATTCGTTTTGATGTCACAAAGTAATTAAAGCACAGATTTTGAAATTTAAAGCGGCCTCATTGCAACACCCTTTTTGTGAATATACAGCTGCATTAAGGCCCTCCCCCCATTATCTACACCTGGTCAATGACAGTCGCTCGACCGTACGTCCAAACAAGTGGCGGTGGCGCAGCGGTTATTGAACTGTATTCGTCAGTGGCGGGCGATATCTGCATCGGGAGTCGTTCAGCCCCCCCACACTTCACCGGCGTGCGATGACCCAACGCGGTGAAGTATGGTCAAACGATAACTCCCCAAGACCGACGAGGAATTGGGGGGGGGGGCCTTCATCTAGTGGGCGCGCTAACCAAGAGCTGTAAACATGATCATGACCTTCTGAGCGTGACTCTGGAAAACTGAAATTGCAAAAATTATTCAGAGCAACCAAAAGTAAAATAAACAAACAAGAAAAGCTGATAAATAAACACGCACACAATGCAAAGTTGCCTTGGCATGCCCATGCAGACTCGAGAAATGAGTAAAGAAAATGTGAAACTTCATAATCAGCAAGCTTAGTCAAGTGCCATGCAAGAGGGAGAGGGGGGGGGTAACGTGTTGACAGTGTGTGCGTGTGCGCGTGTGTCGTGCGCGTGTTGTGCGAGCGTGTGCGTTAATTTTAATCAACAACTGGGGCTCAACACCGTCCGTGTCCGCTCGTTAACAGTTGAAAAGTCGCTCGGTGAATTGGGCACCTCCTCCCTTTCTCAAGGTTCATCGATGTCAACGTTTCCTACACGCAAGCAGTGTGGGTCTGTGCTACTGTATTGATCGCCTAAATGGACTACGGATGTACTGCGCGCTGAACTCCTTTCGCAACGTGCGCAGCCAACCGTGCCAATCGGAGGTGCGGGGAGGAAAGGACAACAAACTCAACACAAAAAGGAGTTCTAAAGAAATTCGTTTTCAGCCGAGATGATTTAAAAGTTGCGTGCACGGATTTCTCAACTCCGTCGAGCAACCGGTAAATGTCGAGGAGATTCTAGATTTGAAAGCTTTCGTGACTGCAAGGATTCATATTCTTAGGTTTTTTTCGGTAAAGTCACGTAGGTAAAACATTAAAATTAATAAAAATGAAAGATTTTTATTTTAGTTTACTTTTATTAATTTTAATGTTTTACCTACGTGACTTTACCGAAAAAAACTAAGAATATGAGTCGAGGAGATTGTCTCGAAAACCCCGCAGTGGCTTCAGTTGAACAGCAGCACACTAATAAAATCCAAGGAGGTGTGTGACCTTGAAATTAACGAACTTAAATTTTGAGCGGCACCCTATCACGGATGTTTTGCCTACCGACGGCAGCGCTTCGCGGATGATGATAATTAACCTCCCGTCCAGCGGCACACGTGGGAACAGAGGAGAGACTTTTTTTCTCTTCCCCCCCACCCAAAACTATTTTCGTGTTATCCGACTGAGTTGACTAACCCAGACCGCTAACTGCCAGAGTAATCAATTATTTACCTAATCCAATCATCTGCCTCCGAAATATTACAATGTCCCCTGCATAGGACAGCCAATATTGACTTCCCACAAAATGGTATGACATTTAGCAGTCCAACAACGCTGATTGGGCTGAATATCGACGCTCCCCAGACGGGATTTGAACCCGTGACCTTTATGGTATGGCCTACGACAATCAGCCAACTTGAGTTTACTTTCAACGACTGTCTGAATAATTAAATACCGATATTTTAAACATGCAGACACTTTTTTTTATCTACGACGGTAACACCCATTAATTGGTGAAATTCGGCGGGCGCACGTCAATTCAATCCGGGGCTTTCGCTTTCAAGGATAATTTCACGTGAATTTGACGTTACCCCGATGTTCGTCTTGAAACGACAGTCTCCCCCCACCCCTGCCGCCACCACGCTGAGATGTAATTTTAAAGTTTTGCTGTCCGAGACGGACGGGGGAGGGGTGGGGGGGGAGGCGGCGATAAACGCCACGGAGCGACGGCACCGATCGAACCGGATGGCGTCGCCAGAAGCGTGAACAATCGCCTCTTGAATTTCGATTTAAAACTTTCGTGACTGCAGGGATTCATCTTCTTGGTTCTTTCGGTAAAGTCACGTAGAATGTAGTATCATGTTTTATTTTTATTATTTTATTATCTCCCTTCTACGTGACTTTACCGAAAGAACCAAGAAGATGAATCGCCTCTTGGTTCACGAAAGCACGAAGGCTCCCCCCCCCACACCCCCCCCGCCACCGCCCCCGCGCGGTTCAACTATCACCAAAGCTCACGGTGGCGAGTTTCCGTTCTACCATTTTTTTCGGTGGGGCGGGTGGGGAGGACCACGTCAGATTTGTGTGCCGAATCTACCAGAATCCTCCCGGCGTTTGGTGCTTAAATTGACAACAGATCCACTTCGCTGCCGACGCGAATATCTGTGGCTCGTTCCTACCGGAAAAATGTGATGTAACGGCGAGCGACGGAAGAGTGTGGCGTGTGTGTATATATAAAAACATATTAACACGTTTTACAAGAGCGCGGAAATTATGTCACGGATGAGCACGTACTAAAAAAGGGCGAATTCCGTTGATTTGTCTTTTACAGTTCGAGATGAAACATAAGGATTGGGTTTAGGTGAGAAAAGTTCTTTGTCGTTGTTAAAAAGCATTTGAATCTTGCCTACTGAACGGTGGTGGTGCTGAGCCCCAGCTGTTAAAGACTGAAATGTGCGGTGCGTCTCATTCAATGGCAAGCTTCTTTGGTCCAAACTGAGCAGCTTAAGTAAAAAGACAGGTCCACGTCAGGGCTTCCAGCACACACACGTTAAACCAAGAAAGTTTTTTTTTTTCTTTCTGTTAGCCCGTCTCACAAATGCGGTGGCATTAGTTTTGACTGTCAGTCACGATTAGTCGCTTTGATGTGATTAGTTTTTTTTAACATGTACAAAAATTTAAAACTTTAACGTAGAGTCGCGGGAGGTGAAAGGTCACGGGCAACTTTGTGCAAAGGATGAAGAAATCTTCCATTCGAACAAGATGACAATCTCACACAGGCACTTTAGTCATAATCATTCATAATCAACGTTTTTGGGTTAGATCAGCGTTATTATTATAAATGTGTCGTACCCTCCACCACCCGACACGGCCAATCAGCAAAAAAGCGTCCCGTACGACAAAAGACAAAATAGTTCACTGCTTTAGCGCACCGGTGTGTTGAAGCGTGAAACCACAACATTTACAATTTTTGAGTAGTACGACGTTTCGCTGGTAATTGCATCCAGCATCATCGGGCAATTCGCCAGAATGGTGGCCGTGTCGGGTGGTGGAGGGTTACGACACTTTACTCAGTTCGGGTAAATGTTCGTAACCGCAGGTTATATTCAAATAAAAAATATCGTTTTGGCTTTTAGCCCCCCGCCAACGGACGAAAATGCACCAAGGGATATATGTCACGAAGCAAAACAGTCAGAATAAGAGGAGGCAACAAGGCATTTGTGTCGACAGTCGAACTAAAAAGCCGACGATAAAAACACAATCGTGCCCCGGGGAGTTAACGGGATCACGTTAAGAGCGCCAAAAAAGATTTACAACTTGGCGTGTTCCGAACAACCCGCACTTTGAAATTTAGCGGGGCTGGCTTATAGACGGGGGGGCCCAAAACCACGCAAGAAAAACAACGCAGCACCTGCAAAGTGTAAACAGCAGCAATCGTTAGCGACGACGTGCAATCGATGTTAAGTGCAAAGCACAAAACACAACACAAGCTCACGAAACGAACGAGGCGTTGGACGTTAAAACGTCCCTTACAAAAGTGTCGCGCGTGAGGATGCCTCTCTATTGCAAAGCATCCGAATGCTACCGAGCCGACGTCACCAAATTCAACTTGAACTTCTCGGTCCGTTTTAGCCGAGGCTTCAGTCGTCGGATTCCCGCGGGCAATTTCACCCATCCCACCCCCGTAGTGCGGTCGAGGAAAGCAGTCAACTTTTAGAGCACTCGGACATTCAACGTTTTTGCCCTATCACGCCCAACCCTAAATGTTATCCGGCCGCCAATCGGTGAACTCGGCAAATGTGTTTTTGTTGTAGACACATCCGTGACTATTTAACTATTATAAGATAGATATATACATGGCCAAATTAACAGTTTTGTTCCTCCTCTGTGTCACTGCGGCCTCTCAGCAATGTAACTAAACTATCTCAGCCTGCACATTCACTCAGACTCGCGATTCACGTCTCGTCGATGATGGTGCTGATAATGATGTCGTGATAATGATGGTTACGATGATGATGGTTGGTCACGATGATGATGATGATGGTGGTGGCTGATAATACTGGTGGTAGTGGTGGTGATGATGATGGTAGTGGTGATGGTAATTTTCGATTTAAAGCTTTCGTGACTGCGGGGATTCATATTCTTGGTTCTTTCGGTAAAGTCACGTAGAAGGGAAATAATAAAATAATACAAATAAAACAATTAAATTATCACGACGTTTCGATTGCAACACAAGCAATCATCATCAGGTGTGAAAACCACAGCAAGACAAAAAAAACGCCACTTTTTTCTAAATTTTCTTGCTGTGGTTTTCACACCTGGCGATGGTAATGTTGATGATGATGATGACGGTAGTACTGTAGTGGTGATAATGGTGGTGGTGATGACGATGGCGACGACGCTCCGTCACTAACTTCGTCACTCACGGAATTAACAACAATGCTGAGGTCTGGCATAGGCATGCCCCGTACAACACTGCCGGGAGAAAAGTGGGCCCCCCCCTCTCTCTGTCGTCTCTCGCAGCACAGGCCTTCGGGGACGTCAGCGGCAACTGGGGGGGAAGCCGCAAGCGGTAGCGCTGGTGGAGACGACCGCTCAATGACCCTGGGGGGGGGGGGGGGGTCCGAGATTTTTCTTTTGGTTTGTCGCGACGACGGCACGGACGACTCACCCCTTTTCCGTCGATGTTGCACGGTTTGGCGTTGAACTTCACGGTTTTTAACCGCGCCCTCTCCTTCCTTTCCACCCTGCGGGCAGACGGGCGGGGGGGGGGGTAAAACATCCATAGGGAGGCACGCGTTAGCGACGGCGTTAATCAGCTCGATTAAATAACCCCTCATTCAAGGCTTGGCGCTACCCGCCATGAGCACGCTTTCCGTTCAGTGGAGGCGCTTGCTGTTGCGATTGCTCGAGTCGGGGCCTGCGCCGAGAAACTGCGGTAAATCGCGGAACGCGCACGCAATGACGGCGGGGGATCACCCGCCGTTGCGCCGAACGCCCGCGGCGGTTTGCGTTGTGTGACTATCACAATGGAACGGAAGAGATGATACGAAATTTTGTTTTATATGTCGCTGCGCCGTTTGAGCAAACACAATCACCACCAAGTGGCAGGAACATTATCACACACACACGAATACATCTCACAAACACGCACACTCAAACACACTCAAACTCACCCGTACACACAAACACCAACTCACTCACCCAGCTAGTCACCCACCTACCCACCCATTCACCTGCCCTCTCAGACCACCCATGTAACCACCCACCCACACGCACCCACCGACTCATCGACCCACCCACGCATCCACCCAGCCACGCACCGGCCAACCCACGAACCCACTCACTCATCGACTCACCCAGTCACCAAGCAACCCAGGAACCCACCCAAATCCACTTACCCAACCACCCAAACCCACCCACTCACACAAACCCACCCACCCACCTACACACCCACCCACTCATCCACGCACCCACGAATTTACCCACCAACACACCCACCCACTCTCCCGCCCAGTCACCCACGTACCCACCCGATCGCCCACCGACCCACCCAGCCGCACCTGCGCTTGCTGGGGATGACCCCGATCTCGTCCGAGTCCCCGCCGGCTGTGACGCGCCGTGCCTGCCACCATTCGTCGTCCGAGGCATTGGTCACGTGCAGGATGTCCCCGTACTTGAAGCTCAGGCCCTGGCTGGGCAGCCCGCTGTCGCGTGTCTTGTCATAGTCGAACAACGCCCTGTGAGCAAAGCCGCGCACCGGATTAGACAAACACGCACGCACACTCGTTTTGACACGTGCTCAAACTCACCCGCACATACAACCACTGGTTCACTAATTTAAAGTAAAAATGTTTTTTATTGATATTTAAAGATCGGAGTGACTTCGGCCTTTGCGGCTAATGCTTAGTGTGTCAACGCACGAGCTTTGTCCGTCAGTCTGCCCGTCACGGGGCGGCTACGATGAATCTCAGAAAGAGGATCCCAATATGAACAAAACTCCAGTGTAGAGTTGTGTTAACACTTGCCATTGTCAAAAACTGTGACCAAAACGTAAAGACAAACAAAAAAATCAGAACTAAAAGGATTTAAACTTAAGCATTTTTTTTATTTTACCAGGTAAGGTTCACTGAGCCAGAGCTCTTTTTTAGAAACGACCTGGCAACAGATGATAGCTCAACGAAGTGGCTTATTGCGTGGAAATCTATGGCAGTCAAATACTCCTAAACGCTTGTCGATTATAAATGTGGAGTCTAAGAACCGGAGGACCCGGAGAAAATTCCACGCGACCACAGAGAGAGAGACACGCAAACTCCATATATACAGCAGCAGGCGTCAGTCGGAATCGAACCCACGACCTCCTGTATACCAGGCGAGGTAGTTAACGCCTCGCCACTGTGGTACCCCCCTTGCCAGGTTGGGGAGGGGCAAAACATAAAATCGAACACAAACACCGAGATGTTGTACGAGAGACGAAGCTGGACATTGCTATGTGCGCACGCCGCAAACGGGAGACCTGCAGTAAGTGTCCACACTTGACAACCGTACAGTGATGTCATTCAATCATTCACAGGTGTTGGCCACTAGCGGCCAATCACAGCACCGTGTGGATGCTCGCTGGCAAGGTGTTTATTTGTTCGGTGGCCAGCTGGCACGATGGATCAGGATGCCGGGCCGGTGCCGCCGAGATCCAGGCTTGGAACCTGGGTTTTGGCGGCACAACCGCGGCGATTAAACCGGAGTTCGAGTGCCAATCATCCAGTGAGTTCCGTTCACCCAGTGACTCACAGAAACCGAATTTGTATTCAGACTGGAGGAGGAGGAGGAGGAATCCGATGAGTGGCCACTAAGCTATTTTCTCACAGACGTCCCCCCCCTTATGCCCCCCACTTCCACCTGGTCACGTGACTCGAGAGGACCGAGCGCGTTTTGTTGGTAGGGCAACGATAAAAATCGACCACGAGCCTCCGCCACCACCACCACCTCCACACAACCACAACTATGGACAAAGCCACTGGGTGGCAACGACGGAGAGCGGCCCCCGTGCCGCCGGTTACGTTATTATCGCCCCCTCGGCGGCCGCACACGGCGCTCCCAATGAGAAGCTGCCGCCCCCTCTCCTCCCGGAGTGGCGGAGACTCCGCGGCCGTGCAGGCCGGCCTGCGTTTACCCGCAGGCCGGCCTGCGTTTACCCGCAGGCCAGCCTGCGTTTACCCGCAGGCTGGCGTTGCCGTCGGAGCGACGGTTTAAAGCGCTTTACCTTTTCCCGAGAGTGCCGGCAGGCGGACGGACGGGGTGGGGCGGGGCACGCCGTAGTTTTTCGGGAATTAACGTCACGCCGATCAAATGTCGGCTCCTCGCGGTGGTAGCGGAGGAGAAAATAAATAAAATAAAGGAGCTTTCTCCCGAAATCAAAGCGTGCCCAACCCCCCCTCCGATGGCGAACTGAAAACCCCGCTTTTAGTCTTAACGGGATATTTTTTTTATCTGTCTGAGAAGTGTCATGGTGGTGTCTTTTATTGGAAGCATTAGCGGCCGGCTTGGAGCGCCGGACTCGTGTGTATTATACGGCCCACGCGTCGCCAACCTGAAAGTTAATATAAAATATATAGCAACATCTGTGCGACTGCGAAAAAAGGTTACAAAACCATTCTAAGGATGTGGGGCTCCACCAATCCACTGTCAGACAGATCGTCTACAAATGGATAAAGTTCAAGACCACAGTCACTCTACCCAGGAGCGGTCTGTCCACCCGAAATTTCTTAAAAAACAAACCAGAAAATCATGAAGGAAGTCACAAAGAACCCCAGAGAAGCATCCGAAAGTCTGCAGGCCACTCTCGCCTTGGCCGATGTGAGCGTTCATGATTCGACTGTCAGAAAAAAGACGAAACAAGAATCGTGTCCATGGAAGGATAAGCAAGGAGAAAACCACTGCCCTCAAAAAGGAACATTTCTGCCCATCTGAAGGTCACCAAAGAGCACATTCGATGATCCACAAGACTTCTGAAACAATGTTCTCTGGACAGACGAGCCGAGGGTAGAGCTTTATAGGCCTCAATGAGAAATGCTACGTTTGGGCAAAACCAAACGCTGCTTTCGAACAGAAGAACCTCATCCCAGCCATCAAGCGTGGTGGTGGGAATGCGATGGTTTGGAGCTGCATTGCTGCCTCAGGACCTGGATGCAGAGGTCGCAACCGGGTACCCAATACCCGTACCCTACCCGATACCCGGCTAACCCATACCCGGCCAGGTACGGGTAACTGTTTGTGACCCTGGTGCAGCCCGGTACGGGTAGGTCGTGAGTCACTGGTGAGTAACCGTTTGTCACTCATTTCGGGTAGGGTACAGGTACGGGTAGGGAACGGCTACCCGTACCCGGCCGGATACGGGTACGGGTACCCATTTGCGACCCTGGTGCGGCCGGGTACGGGTACGGGTAAGCCGTGAGTCACTGGTGAGTAACCGTTTGTCACTCATTTCGGGTAGGGTACGGGTACGGTTAGGGAACGGCTACCCGTACCCGGCCGGATACGGGTACAGGTACCCATTTGCGACCCTGGTGCAGCCGGGTACGGGTAAGGAATCAAAACCCGTTTGCGACCTCTGCCTGGATGGCTCGCAATCACTGACACAACCATGAATTCTGCATTGTATCGGAAGATTCTAGAGGAAGAATGTCAGGCCGTCCGTCCGTGAGCTGAAGCTGAACCGAAAGTAGGTCTCTCGCAGCAAGACAACGATCCTAAACCTACAAGCAGATCTACAAAATAACGGCTGCAGAAGAAGAAATTCCGCGTTTTAAAATGGCCTGGTCAAATCCCGGACCTAAACCTCATCGCAAATGTTGTGGCCGGAACTGAAGCGAACTGTACATGGGCAAGGCAACCTTCAAATGTCACAGTTGAAGGAGCTGTGCAAGGAGGAATGGGCCAAAATTACTCAAATCCGATGTGAGACAGGCTGACACCAAAGGTTGCAGGAAACGCTTAGTTGCAGTCATTGCTGCTCGAGAGGGTTTCACGAGTTACCGAATCACAAAGATTCACGTACTTTTACACACGTCCCTATACTGGTAGGAACCACCTGGTTCCACCAGCCCACAGGGGATTATTGTGTCCGTCCGTCCGTCCGTCCGTCGTGCATCCAAAAATGGGAGGGGTGGGGCTGGGTGGAGAGGGGAGGGTGGGGAGGGGCTGGGTGGGGAGGGGCTGGGTGGGGAGGGGAGGGTGGGGAGGGGCTGGGTGGGGAGGGTGGGAGGGGTGGGGCTGGGTGGGAAGGGGCTGGTGACCCCGTGGTGCCCTTAAAAAACTCAACGTTTAACCTACTCACACTGACTTGTGCCCTGCCCTCACAGTCGGGCATATTTGCGGAATACACCACGCCGCCGTTGACCCTGGCCATTGACCGAGCAACCCAACGTTCCTACCAGCTCCCTCCGCAGGAATGTGTTAGTGCATGTAGAATCATTTGAGAATAAATACATGTTGAAAGAGTGTCATGTTTTCGTGTCATTTGTTTAATCAGCTTATCTTTCTCTTTTATTACGACTTGGATTAAGATCTTAATAACATTTTAGATTTTAAATATATTAAAATATGTGAAAATCCAAAAGGGTTCACGAACTTTTTTTTCGGCATCGTACTACATCTCCATCTGATTTCCCCGCAACTCCAGCTCAGCTCTGTACCCCCCCCCCCCCCCATGCTTCTCTCATCTCGCTACATTTCTCGCCCCTCTTGTCATGCAGCATCACGCACGCAAAATTATCTCATCTTTGCCCTGCACCTTTACAGGGTCAATTTAACACGTAGGCTTTTGCGACCAATATCATCCATAATACAGGTGTTTTTGGGGTTAGATCGCGTAAACACTCATTTAGACGATCTAAACAGTCATTTACGCGATCTAACCCAAAAAAACCTGTATGATGGATCTCGACAAGGTATTTTAGGTATTGAAAAGACAACAACAACAACCGCCAATCGTCACTAAGTGGCGGTGACGTCACCACGACGCTTGTGCCAGACTATGTGCACCTTGAGGCCACGTGAAGTGAAAAGGAGACACACACACATATACACACCTCCCAAAATAATTTCTGCTTGGGAGCCCAAATACACCTTCACCACGCCACGTCATCACCATCGACATCGCGAGTGACGGCACCGACACCGTCGCGCAAACGGAATGTGATGTTCCCCCGCGCTGACGGAGAGAACGCGGCAAGATGACATTTGTTGCGACGATTGTCGAAAAAGAGAAGGGAAAAAAAACTGAGGTTAAAATGTCCTTGCTTTAAACCAGGGGTGGGGAACGTCCGGCCCGCGGGCCGTATAAGGCCCGCGAAATCATTTGGTGTGGCCCTGCCAAGGCAACCGCAGGCGGGACCCGAATTTCAATAAATCTAGGAGAAAACCTGGAAAAGTAGTTGCGAGTAGCAGCAACATCATCAACACCAGCTAACATCACACGCCACGCCAAAGAGAAGCAGTTCCAGCCATCGCATTAGGGGTGAGTTAATTAAACGTTTGACCAAATATAACAGGATAATTTTTAAGTTGATCATTTTGTATGGCCCGCGAATGATGTTAGAAATATCCAAATGGCCCTTGGTAGTAAAAAGGTTCCCCACCCCTGCTTTAAACGGACACAGGCGGATATCTTTTGAGTGCATTTTGCTACCTCATTAATGAAACAGCTGGAACAGCCTAAGCGGTCACCGGTGCTCGCCACCGA